AATGTTGGCGAGGATATGGAGAAAAAGGAACTCTCCTGCACTGCTGGTGGGAATATAAACTGGTCCAACAACTATGGAAAGTTGTCTGGAGGTTCCTCAAGCTACTAAAAATGGAGCTTTCATATGATCCAGCAATTCCACTCCCAGGTATCTACCCAAAGGACACAAAAACATTAATTCAAAAGGACACCTGTACCCCTATGCAGCACTATTTACAATAAGTAAGCTTTGGAAACAACCCAAATGCCCAAAAATAGATGACTGGATCAAGAAGATGTGGTACATATACACCATGGAATATTACTCAGCAATCCAAAAAGATAAACTCATGCCATTTGCAGCAACATGGATGAAGTTGGAAGGAAAGGGATCATGCTCAGTTGGAAGGAAAGGATAAGCCAGAAAGAAAAAGAAAAATACCAGATGGTTTCACCTATAGGAGGAATGTAGAGGATCCAAATAAGGGATTGGTGAAAAAAAGTTATTATAATGAAGTGAAAATCAAAATCAACAAGCAACTATAAACCAGAGACATTCTGCAGTGGGGAAGAAGGGAGTAGGATCAAACAGGGTGAGAAGAGCACAAGGTGATGGTGTATGGGTGAATTGGTGGTGGGAATTTCACAGGGACTATAACCAAGAAGAGAATACATATATTGTTAAAAAATGAAGAAGATGCAAAAAATATATAAAAGAAAAATATATATAAAGCTGGGAGAGGGGAAGGTATCCACAAGGACTTGGAAAGACTCCAAAATAATCCTGGGATGTAGAAAGGTGCATGTGCTCAGGAAAGACTGGAGAAAACCTAAGCTGGCACCTCTGGCTGGCCTGAGTCTCTGTGCAAGCAGGAAAGGAAGGGTAGAGCAGAGTTGTCAGCTGTCTGACTGAGTGCTGAAGGGGTTTCCTTCCCTCAAAGGTACACAAAGCCCTTTTGGTTACAGGCATTTAAAGAAATCTCTATGTAATAATTAACTGACCATTAAGTACTAAGCAGACTCAGTGTCAACACATGGCAAACAACATAGACTTCAGAATTAGTTCCTAAAAATCACAGAAAAAACAATCACTAACAGTAACAACAACCAACAGCCTCTCCTGGGAATGGGAGAATAAAATTTCTAGAGTTACCACACTATATTACTTTAAATATCTAGTTTTCAACCAAAAAAAAAAAAAAAAAAGTTGAGATATGCAAAAAAAACCCCCGAGAAAGTATAGACCTTGCAGAGGGAGGGAGGGGTGATGCAGTAAATATAAACTCTCTCTGAGGATCCCAGGCACTGAATTTACTAGACAAAGCCTTTAAATCAATATTTTTAAATATTTCAAAGAACTGAAGGATACCATGTCTAAAGTACTAAAGAAAATATGAAAACAATGTCACCAAGTAGAAAATGTAAAGAAATAGAAATTATTAAAAAAGAACCAATTAGAGTGTTAAAAATTACAATAACTGAAACGAAGAATTCACTAGAAGGACTACTATGGACTGACTTGTGTCACCCCCAAACTCATATGGTGAAACTCTGACCCCCAGTGTGGTTATAGTTGGACACAGAGAGAAGATGACTATCTATAAGCCAGGAAGAGAGTTCAGCTCCAGCCAGGATGTGAATTGGCTGGCACCTTGATCTGGGATTTCTAGCCTCTACAACTGTGAGAAAATAAATGTCTATTGTTTAATTTGCCCATTTTAGTATTTTGTCATGGCAGCTAAAGATGAGTAGGCTAAGGGCTCATCAATAGCTTTGAACAGGCAAAAGAATTAGCAAACTTGAAAATGGTCAATTGAGATTTTCCAGTCTGAGGAAAAACAGACTCTGTTGGTGCCATCAAATGTACCAATATGTGTGTAATGGGAGTGCCAGCAGGAAAGCAGAGAAAGAAGAAAATTTGAAGATCTAATGGCTGAAAACTTCCCAAAGTTGATAAAAATCATGCATCTAAATATCTTAAAGTCGGATATATACAAGAGATCCACACAGATTCCACATATCATAATAAAGATGCTGACAGACAAAGAGAGCATGCTGAAAGTCACAAGAGAGAAGCACTTCATCACATTCAGGGGTGCCCAGTAAGATTGATGGCTGGCTTTTCTTCAGAAACCACAGAAGTCAAAGACAGTGGGATATCATATTCAATGTGCTAAAGAAATACACTGTCAACAAAGAATACCAGCAAAATCTCCTTCTAAAATGAAGGAGAAATAAAAGCATCCATTCTAAACAAATCTGAGAATTCATTGCTAGCCAGGCTTCCTTTTTTAGAAATACAGCTGCTCTTTGTCTAGTGTCCTTTCACCAAGGACTCTTCAGTCAATATCAGAGATGAAAGCACTGATAAAGTTAACTACACAGGCAAATAGGAAGAAAGTTTAAGTAAAACTTTTGTTTGTAACTCTTTTTTCCCCCTATCTGATTTAAAAAACAGCGGTATAAAGGAATGACTCTGGATCTATTTGGATGAGCATGCAGTGTCTAAATGTGTAATTTATTTGGCAATAATAGCACAGAGGAGTGGGGGAGGAAATGAATGGAAGCCAAGTTTTATATGCTATTGAAATTAAGTCATCTGGCATGAACAAATCCATAGAGAAAGAATGTAGATTGGTGGTTGCTCAGGAGCGGGGCTAGTAACACAAATGGGCACAAGAGTTTCTTTGGGGGGAATGACAATGTTCTAAAATGATATTGTGGTAATCATTGCACACTTCTGTAAATTTACTAAAATGGTACTCAAAATGGGGAATATTATTTTATGTAAATTATGCCTTGAGCTATTAAAATATAAATTAAAGTTATGTGTTTTATTTATGCATTAATAATAATCATTACCATTTATTGACTATTAACTGCATTCTAGGCACTGTGTTGGAAATTTTATATAAATTATATAAATTAATTTACTTCAGTCCTAATATCTTAATGCTGGGATATTTGATATTACCATGCCAATTTTAAAGATTTAGAAACTGAGCTCAAAAGAGTCAACAAAATAAAAAAGATTAAAGTGCAGACTTTTACATAAAAAGTTGATCAACATCATTAATTATTAGAGAAATGCAAGCCAAAAGCTGAAACCACAATGAGATACCACCTCACACTTATTAGGATGACTGCTATTTAAAAAAATAGTAATTACAAGTGTTGGCGAGGTGTGGAGACATTTTTAGAAAGGCATGTGGTTGGTAGGGCTATAAAATGATGCAACCACTGTGGAAAGCAGTATTGAGGTTCTTCAAAATATTGAACATAGAATCACCATATGATCCAGCAATCCCACTTCTGGGAATATATCCAAAGAAAATGAAAACAGAATCTTGAAGAAAACACCCATGTTGGTTGTGGCATTGTTCACAGTGGTCAAGAGGTGGAAGCAACTGCAATGTCTATTGACAGATTAATGAATAAAGAAAATATGAACCATATATAAGAATATTATTCAGCCTAAAAAGGGAAGGAAATCCTGTCATGTTAGCACATGAATGAAACTTGAAGACATTATGCCAAGTGAGGTAAGCCTGTCACAAAAAGACAATACTTCATGATTCCACTTACATGAGATATTTAAAATAGTCAAAACCATAGAAACAGAAAGTAGAGTGGTGGTTGGCAGGTATGTGTGTGGGGGGAAGTAACTGGGAGTTATGTGCATTGAGACATAGTTTCTGTTTTCACAAGATGATAGAAATTATAGATGTCATACAGCAAGGGGCATATAGTTAACCCCATTGTACTGTGTTAATGGTTAAGATGGTAACTTTTGTTACATGCTTTTTTTGCCATACCAAAAATAAACAACATAATGTGATTGTGTTTGTGCAAGAAAAGATTGTGCTTTCTGCCACTACCATATGCATTTAATGAGTGATCTAAGCAGTGTGACTCAGTTTCCATTTGCCTCTTTACTACGTGGTTCTCATTCCATTTGCACAAACAAAAGTGCATTTTAGGGCTTCCCTGATGACACAAGGGGTTAAGACGCAACCTATGAAACTATCCGCAGCCTCCACAGCACGAGTTCGATCCCCCGCCAAAGAGCTAACCACATGGCGCAGCAGACCTCTCCTGACTCGCCCGCTGCTCCTCTCAGCAGTGTATTTCAATCTGCCTGCTGTTCCCCACTCTGTCTCTGGTGAATCCCCTCACCCCCCCACAACTCTGGTCTGTAGCCCAGTTTTTGTATGCATGAATATTTTTTTTAAAAGTGCATTTTACAGTAGATCTTTTTCTTTAAGATTTATTTATTTATGCATACATGAACTGGGGTACAGACCAGAGATGCCAGGGGGTGAGAGAATTCACCAGAGACAGAGTAGGGAGCAGAACAGTCAGGACTACTGAAATATACTGCTGAGGGGAGCAATGGGAGAGACAGGAGAAGTCTGCTGTGCCATATGTGGGTAGCTCCCTGGCTGGAGATCAAACTCGTGCTGCAGTAGATATGGATAGCTTCATAGTGCTGAGACTTAACCCCTTGCGCCACCACAGAGGCCCCAAAAGTGCATTTTAAAATAAGTATTAACATTATTATAATTAGTATTTTTCCTGGTCTCTTAATTTAGGTTTTCTAAATTCCTGCTATGAGTGAGACCATCCAGTATTTTTCTTTTTCTTTCTGGCTTATTTCGCTGAGCATGATCCCTTCCAGCTCCATATAAGATAAAATTTAAAAATAAATGAATAAATAAAAATTAAAAAAAAAACAAATACTGAGAACTGAAAAAAAAAGTATTAACATTGGGAGATATTATTTCATTTCATTGTTCTTTTTTTCCTGCCTTTATTTTCCCCTTAGCTCTCTTATTTCTTGGGAATGACATGGGCCATCTGATATTGGAAAGTAAAGACACTGTCTTACATTCACCTGTCTTTATTCAATGTTTCCTTATGCATTTTGAATGTTTTTTCTGTGACTTGGGGGTGTTTGTTTTTTTGCAAACCCTGGAATTGAGCTTGGCAAAGGCAGACCTTGCCTCTCTGTTTCTTGTGTAGGGAAACTTCAGACACGCCAGCAGCAGTGCCCCAGTGTCAAGGGAAGAGTTGATGACAGTGCTGTCTAGACTGGAAGGCGTGCGCCTGCGAGGCCTCTACTTCACAGAGACGCAGCGGCTCACCCTGGGCGAGGTGGGGCTGGAGGAAGCATCGGCCACAGGAAGTGGGCGGCAAGCACATATGGTGGAGATGTGTGCCTGCCCCCCTCACCACATGGGTGATTCATGTCAGGTAGGAAATCCTCCTGTAGCATAAAATTCCCACCGGGGAAGTCCTGGCCACTGTCTGGCACTGTGGAAGGTCTGGGGAACTCCGTGCTTCCTGCAGCCTTCTGCTGGGCCTCCTAGGCTAGAATTTCTCTGCCCCCTGGACCACCCTTAGGTATTAAATAAGAAAAAGGAACCCCAGGTGCTCCAAAACCCACACAAAAGCTACTGAAGCTCAAAAGATCCCGGTTGTAGAAATCAGTACTTTCGGACAAGTCTGAAAAGGCTGGCCGGTCAGCATGCTGAGTCCCTGCTTCCTGGCAGCTGGTGCAGGCTTCTTATGCCCTTCATTCCTCTGGGCTTCTCTGCAGTACCAACTCCGCAGCGGAGTGTGTTCCAGAGAACATCCTGATCACAGCCCCACTGTCTAGCTTGAAGCAGGCTCATGATTCGAGGCCCAGTCAACCTGACCTGTTCTCAGGTGATTGGAAAATACCATATACTGAAACTATTTGACAAGTCAATAGCAAAGCAGGGAAGAAGCACAATGGTTAGTGCAATTACTAGGCAATAGCAGACATTGTCTTTCTATGTCTTCCTTACACCCAAATAGGTAGACTGAGCAACACCCTTCTTTTTCTCTCCTGATTCCTTGATAGCAGGGGTCTTGACATGGTTTGCATATAAGAGTTTCTTTTTTTAACCTGCATAAGCAGTTGATCCTTGAACAACTGAATTACACAAGTCTACTTGTAAGTGGATTTCCCTCCCAATTAATATTATCAATGCGTGAGTCATTATACCTACAAATAAAAATGAATTTCTCACATTATCTTTTCATTTTTGAAGTCTAGTATTAGGAATACATAAAGCATGACAGTGTTTTGTAGAGAATATTGATGTGGGTACTGACAGACAGACAATTCATCTTGTAAGTAGATGATATACATTTATGGTATTGATGTACAATATAGTAATGCAAATGTTTCTTCTCTTCCTTTTGATTTTCCCAATAACATTTTATTTTCTCTGGTTTACTTTATTGTAAAAATACAGTACCTAATGCACATAACATAAAATATGCATTGAATGTTTATGATATAGTTGAGTTTTGGGGGAGTCAAAATTTATGCTTGGATTTCCACTACATGTTGCCCCTAACGCCATGTGGTTCAAGGATCAACTACACATCAGCTGACATGGTTTTCTAAGGATTCCTGTAGGTAACATTTAGTCCACAGGTGCTTGCATTCTTTTCCCACCTTCCTTCTATCTCTTTCCTAGCCCTATTAAAATACGTAGCCCCAGGGAAGGAGATGAACCTTGGGATTACCACCCTCCTGCCCAGGGCGTGTTCACTGCACATGACTCAGCCTGTGATTTACAGCTGCTCTAATCGGCTAGTGCCGTCTGCAGGGTGAGGTGGGTAGAAGGTGATGCCTGCCCCACCTCACAGGAATTACAGAGCGGTGCGCTTCCCTGTGGGACTGTTATGTGTGCTCTCTCACAGGCTGACTCATGTGTGAAGTTTACAGGTGGGGCCTCCTGCCGCAGACAGCCTGCCTCACCTGAGTCAGGCGGGCCTGGGCACCGAGCAGGAAGGGCAGGTATAAGAGGCGGAGGCAGAGCCTTGTGTGCAGCCAGCAGGACGCTCAGGGACCAGGATGCCCCCGCCAGTGAGGTGGTCAACCCCAAGTTTGGGGTGGCTGTGGATCTTTGGGGCAGTCCTGGGGCAGTGTCTGGGATACAATTCACAGCGGCAAAGGGTAGCATTTCTTCAGCCTCCTGGTCAGAGTCTTCTGCAAGCAAGTCAAGTGGAGTTTAAACCCAGCCAGGTAATGTCCCTTTGAAATTTTGGTTTGGGATGGGGAAGGGTACCCAGCTTTGTGGCATGTGAATGTCACAGGTGGGCTGGGGGAGGGACTGATGACCTCCTGTCATGTAGACTGGCAGTGTTTATTAGGGTGCCTGTCAGATTGCTCTTCTGAGCTATTAACCACAAACCCCATAAACATCAGCCCACCTGGAAATGCCCAGACAGCTAGGAGTTTAAATGCCTGTGGGGTGTTACTAGGCTGGGCAATTTTGTGCCCTTTCATGTATAACTCAGACTTTGGGACGAAAGTATCCAGTGCCTGTAGGATTCAAATTCTGCTTGGAAAAAAATTACCTGCAAAGTAAGACACAAGAATCAGTGAAATGTATATTCAAGAAAAGTGAAGATCAGGGTTGTGTAATACCTAACAAACCAGCTTCAGTTTGCCAGGCATGAAACACTTTGCACTCTACTCACTCTCTTTATACTTCCTGGATATGCCTTGCACACTCACAGAGGAACAGAATGTTTAGCTGATGAAATAGTCCTGGAAACCTGATAGGGACATCATGTGTGCTGTGAACATTTATCAAAAAGTTATTCTAAAAGTTATTCCAAAAGTTAAAAATGATGAGTTGCAAAAGTCTTTTGCTAAGATATTTCAGTCTACATTTATTTTCAGTTAGAATAAGTCTCCCACACAATCTGAATACTTGAACTGAATTTTATGTTAAGTGTGGAGTTTATGTGCTGTATAGAGGTGAGAAAAATGATTGGATTCTCTTTCAATAACTGACAGATGTTGTGAGAGTCACATGATACATAATATATGAAATAGTACTTTTTAAAAATCAAAAGCAAATTAAAATTTAACTTTATTCAGGATGGGCTATCTTTTCTTCCAAAGCATGTTTAATTGAGACTTCCTTGGGTATGTTGTCATAAACAAGCCAGGTATATTTATCCATGTAGCTAATTTGTGCTTTAGCAAATGTAACTGTTTTATAAGCATATGTGATATATGGTGATAATTATTGGTAGATATTTATAGATACAATCAAACCATCATTGGCTGAAATTTGTTCAAATGCATCTCTTCATCGGGCTTTCAGCTACAGAGCATTCCTTTCATACTTTGGCACTCCCTTAGACAAGCCTATTCATATAACACATAAAGTCATCTAATTTTGTGTAATGCATTCTTTTGCCTAAACATGGTTCCTAATAACTGAAGGGAAAAAATGTATTGGAAATTATAGTCTTATTATTGTGTACAGTCTGTAGTCATTGGTAATTTTGGAAGAAGCTCCTAGCAGCTGTGGGATATTCCACTCTGGGCAAGGTGTGAGCTTTGTTCCTCAGTTCCATCCGGTTAGCTTGTTCCTCTCCTCCACTTGGCCCAGGAGACCTTTCTGGCCGTGGGTGAATGAGAAAGGACTGCTCATTTCAAGTCTTCCCATGACAGTAGTTTCAGCATCTGACAGATATATGTGCTATTTAAAGTACATTAGACAAAAGATTATTTATCTAGAAATATTTTTGCCTGGTGCTCTAATAATAGGGCATAGAGGAGGAGATTAGTAAAAGAAACAAGGGGCAGCTGATCTGATTTAAATCAGTGCACTGATTTGCTCTGCTAAAATAAAGAATATATCTATACTTCTCTTTAAAGAAAGAAATCTAAAATTTTAGTGTCTGGTATAATAATTGCTTTTTTTTTTCTCTTGAGGGCATTCTTAACTAAAATCCTTTAAAAGGTATCAGTTCATCAAAAAAAAAAAAAGCTAATCGTTTTCATCCATAAGAAAAATAACTTGTATTATACTAGAAAGAGACAACGTAGTGGTAGGAGTAATTAAAGTGATAGTGAACAAGAGAACAAGACACATCCAAGGCGACTCACTCGAACTGGGTCCTTGCGTGTTCATTCAGAACCAAGCTTCTGGAAAGTTTCTGAGGAGGGAGCAAGCACATTTTCCTCCCCTGGGCTCCCTCTTGCTTACAGTGGCAGTGAAGTGATTCCAATGAAGAACCCTTAGCGATAAGGGCTCCCCTCCCTGCACCCCCTGCCAATGGCCCAGCCCAACTTGGAGAGGAAATAACTGCCAAAGAGAACTTGAGGAGATTTGCCCAGAGGTCCCTCCCCTAAGAATTGACGTCCTGACTCTCAAACTTGAGATTTGCTCAGAGGTCCTTCCCCTAAGAATTAACATCCTGACTCTCTGCACGCTCATCACTCTGTCCCTCACTCAACCTCTAAACAAGTGAAACCCCACTTCCACACCCCACTCTCCCCACATCCCCTTCTCTGAATTCCCCACTACATGTCTCCTCAGGCACAGATTCACACTCTCATGCATGGACCCTAAACAGAACCTGACAAGGAAAGCAAGTGGCCCCGGCTACTATTTGAAATGAGAAAACCACCCACCAACTAAAGGAAAAAAGTTATTTTAAAAAATGAAATCTTGACAGTCAGAATTGCCACATGCTATGGATAACTTGTTTTTTCTACTGGCTAACCGTTTTTTGTTATAAAAATAGGGTTGTAGCCCTGGATACTACTGGGATAACAAAGGCTCATTTACTGGACGGTGTGTTCCCTGCAATTGCAACAGACATTCAAATCGATGCCAGGATGACTCAGGAATATGTATTGTAAGTAAATTGGTGCTGTGATGCTACCAGTAAGCAATATGTCTCTGTGCTTCTCCCCTATGAGGCTCTGAGACAGGAAATGTCACATGTCCTTACAATCTCTAAATAGAAGCTGCTGTGCAGATGTAGAAGGCTCCACAGTTATCAGGCCGCATGATTTTACACTTCATTTTTCTCCCGCATTTAACATGTGCCACCAGAGAAGAACACCTGTTTAAACAATTACATTACACCTTAGTTGCTACTTCATTAAGTGATATTAATGGGTGGAACCTGGGACTTAACTCTTGCCAAGACATAATAAATTGAAGGCATTACTTTAAACCTCAATTTTGTTGGGGTGCTGGGAGATTACAGATGGGGAGTTAAGTTGTTGTCAAGTGTACAATAGCTCCAAAAAGCAGGCTGGGGGGAGGGAATACTAAGAAAAACTTAAAGCATATGCTTGATCCGTCAAACCCAAACCCTCCACAGCTGCCATGACAAAGTGGTTTACGTGGGAAGGTAGGTCAGGGGGTCCTTGATGTCTATGGCTTATCCATCAGAAAATAATCATCTGGAATAGTTTAGAAAATTATTTCAAGGAAAATTATTCTCAGGAAAATTTTCTTTTGTATCCTGAATCAGAACATTTTTTTCTACTGCCCTCCTTTTCATTGGCGTTCTTTTCCCTGGTAGCCAGGGCTGCCCCGACTAGAAGGAGACTGACAGTTGGAAGGAAAGGAGAGAGTGGCAGTACCCTCAGAAATACTGAGGCCCCAGTTATGTTGTGCTCTTTGGAAATAAATTCTTCTGGCAGAGATTTCTTTTGCACTGTGCAACGTAACTAGATGTGTTTCAACTATTTGAGTTCCTAGATTGTATTAAGCCAATTCAGTATGTCCCAGGGAACTGTTTCCTCTGCAAGATGGGACAGGCTGGGACAGGAAACTGTTGTAAAGAGTCTTACAGAATATTCTGGAGGATGTTAACCTTCTAAGTTCAAAATGAAAAAAAGACACTGAGAAATGATGTCTTCTAGCTCATAAGTATTCCCTATATAATAGTTTATATTTCATTCTGTATGTTGTGTGTAACACAAAGTGGATGCTTTAATCAAAAATAAACATTATCTGTCACTGAATCATTGCTAATGTCAGGTCCACTTTATAAAAGCTGCCAAAGATCAAAGGGAGTTTTCTCTCCAGGTCATTCACCTAATGAATGGATCACTAGTGAGTCATAATTTGTAAGTTTTCATCAAACAAGAAGATTTTCTTTCTCATTTCCTTTCTTTATAGCTCTGTCTTCACTTGTCCCTAATGGCCATATGGCATATAGAAATGAGTCATTCAGGAAAACCCATACTGAGCATTTTCTGCTATGGTAGGGATTGCGCTGGCTGCTGGGATCTAATGCATCCAACACAGCCCCTACTCTCAATAAGCTGCTGTCCAGTGGGCATATGTGTGTGCACACAAGTGCATGTATACACACCATGCTTAGACACACGTACATGCACCACACATGTGTGCACACACAGAGGTATGGAGCTTGTGTCTGTGTCCACTTAACAGCTTGATGGGAGGCATTGAGTGCCGACCCTGCTCTCAAATGTGGCCACCGTGTGAGAGCCAAGGGCATAGCCCTCATTCTCAAAGACCAGTAACAAGGCTATCCCCTCACTATCAAATGGACGGATTCTTCTGCAAACTGATCTCTGTCCCTCAGAATCCAAAGCCAGTTTCCAAAATCTGGAATCTTCACACATGTGCAATCTTCATGTTGCTTCAAGTTTGAAAAGAAAGTAGCCCAGCACCTTGTCGGCACAGCAGTGTATGTACAGTGGGGCAGGGCAGGAGTATAGGGCCATGTGTTCTGCTGGCAACTGAAGGGGCCTGACATGGCTGGATCCTCTGTGTCCTCCCTGCCTCTCCTTGCCTGCTTTCTCCCCATATTTCCTCCTTTCTCCCCATCACCCATCTGCCTTGCCTTCTGCCATCTCAGTCCCCCCTCATCTTTCCCTCTGCTCCCATGTCCCTTCCCCTTCCTCTTATCTTCTTTCTCTGGTTTTCTTTCATTTTATTCCCTGTCACTTGAGCCTCTCTTCCCCTCCAGCCAAGAATAACTCATCTGAAACTCACAGTTGATGCAGGGGCCCCCCAGGAGTATACACTGCTCAGCTGGCTTCTGGGCCTCCTTGATCTGTACTGCTGCCTCTCCAGTTGCATCCACTACACTTTCACTTCACCCTCCAGAGCACCAGTGGCTTCCTGTTGCCCACACACTCCCAAGGTTCTCTGCACACAGCTCCTTGTGCCTGGAATGCACTTCCCTTGCCTCTCCACCCTGTTAATTCCACTCCTGTCCTTCATGCAGGCATTATTGCTTCCAGAAGGCCTTCCCTGAAGCTCTGGAAAGAAGCTGCCCCTCCTCTTGCTCTTATGGGGTGCCAGCACAGCTCTTATCATATTTTCCACAGATTGAATATGTCTGTTCACAGGGTTCTCTCTATATCCATGTCAGGGGACTACTCCATCTTTATTCCCTAGTGCCAGCATTCTTGGGCATACAGTAAGTGCCCAAGAGATGTTGGGTGTCAAAGGGGTCTTTGGGGGGTGGGGGGGTACATCCTGTGGGAGTGGATGTGAACTCATTCATTCACTCACTCATTCACTCACAGTAAAAAACCAGGAAACTTGATAGGCAGATGCCTTAAGTTTGCAGGACTGAAGAGAACAACTTCCAGGACAGAAACTCCCAACTGAAGAGGGATATTTCAGATGTATGGGACTTACTCCGACTACATCGTACTGACCCCTCTACAGCCCTCTCTACAGGCACTAGGATGACCAGCATTCAGAGTGCTTTTAGGAGGATACATATGGCCTCACCTGTTTCTCTACATGCTTACTTCTTCCATGTTTTCAACTCAGAACTAAGCAGACGTAGCACTAAAAAATGTCTATCCAACCATGTTTCAAATTTGCAGTTAAAAACCCAGTGTGAAGGTAAATAACTAGTTCAAAATAGCAGCTATTTTATGTTGAGTCATGGCAGTTGCACAAAGTAAAGGTAAAGGAAGCTGTCAACACCCTCTCCTGACAACCCTAAGATACCCTCTATGGATCCACAAACTCCAGTGGGGATTTGTTCCCAGGATCCAGACCAACAGGAAACGTCCGCTGTGACATTTTGGGAAGATGGGAAGGATATGGTGCGAGGGTCAGCTCTCCGGGATGATCAAATGTTCATGTGTGGGCTTCATAATCCTTTAAAGGCCTTCCTAGTTTTCCAAACTACTTACTAGGCCCTTGTGTTTATAGCACAATTTTGTATCTGGAAAAATATGAAAAGATAACATCTTAGTGGTGTAATTCAAAAGTTCAGAAGGGATAGATCTATCAAAGCCAGGCAAGTAGGTGACACTTAGGAAGGAAAGAGAGGCTTTGCTTCAGAACAGCGCCACACTCACTGATAACATGCAAACATACTGTCTTTCCCAAGCCTGGCTTCAGATGGTGTTTCAGAGCTCACATCCATTGGGGTTTCCAACTGAAGTGTCACCTCCACATAGAGAGATAGAACTCATGAGCAGGTTTTTTAAATTACTTACTCCAGGCCATACAATTAGCACAAGGATCTCTGAATTATCGAAAGCCCACAGCAATGGGAGAGTTCCTGCCTATTTTTGTGCATTTAGATTTTTATTACTAACACCAAGACAGGTTTTACTGAGTTAAATACTCCACAAAATCAACACATTTGACAAAATCCATTACGTTTAGTCTCCATAGATTGTTCAGTTGCAAAGTTGTAACATCTCAACACTTTACTGAAGAATAACTTTCATTAGCCATTGATTTTAATGTGCAAATAATTAGATTTGCTTTAAAAAGCTTAGATAAAATTTAATTTATTAGGACCTTGGAGTGAAGTTGGGTGTTTTCTCAGATACAATGGAACTTTCATTGTATTAATATATATCATGTGTTAAGAATATTTCAATTTTATTGCTCTTCAGTATATCATAGTTAGGTGAAGTGTGAAATGAAACCAGGTAGATTTTCAGAGAAACAATTCTAAGGGAAAGAGGAAAGGAGTTTACGCTTACTATTGCACTTTTTAAAAGCCTCCTAACAACCTTGGGAAGTGGGTATTATTCTAAGTGTATGTAAATCATACATCAATGAAACTGGTCAGAGAAGCAAAAGAACTGGCACATGATCCCACAGCCAGGAAATATTACAGTGGCATTTGAAATGCACAAATCTCTCTCTACTCCGTCATTCCTCATGATGGTAAGCACCAAATAGCTGATGGAAGGGCAAAATTAACACCCTTTTTATAGCACCAGTAATGATTGAATGGACAGGAAAAGTATGTGATTAGTGTACTGATATCTCTGTACAGTCAGAAGACTTGAATTATAACTGCATGAGTGATTAGATGACAATGACCTTATAGCAAAAATATAATAGGCTTCCATTAATTGTACTGTTCCTCTGTCCTAAGAACTGCCAGCATAACACTGCTGGGGACCACTGTGAGCGCTGCAAAGAGGGTTACTATGGGAGTGCCATCCACGGATCCTGTAGTGCCTGCCCGTGTCCTCACTCAAACAGGTACTGTGGAAGCTGGAAAATAATCTATAGGCAGGAAGTAGCTTGGTGGTTGCCTGGGACTGGGAATGGAGGGTGAGCAAGGATAGGAAGTGAATGTTAAAAGGGTGTGGGATTTCTTTTGGGTTGGTGAAAATGCTCTAAAATAAATTGTACAATTTATTGTACAATTCCAAGAATATAATAAAAGTCATTGAATTGTACATTTTAAATAAGTGAACAGTATATATGGTATGTGAATTTTATCATAAGAAAGCAGTTAGATATAAAAAAAGAATGAACAAAAATTCTAAACAAAAACAGTTTTTCTAAGCTGTAAGCTTTTGGGTATTTCCTTTTATTTTTTCAAGATTTATTTTTATACATTCAAGGACTGGGGTGTAGGCCAGAGTGTGGGGGGTGAGAGGATTCACCAGAGACAGAACAGGGAACAGAACAGGCAGATTGACTGAAATACACTGCTGAGGGGAACAGCGGGTGAGAGGGAAGAGGTCTGCTGCGCCATGTGGGTCAGCTCCCTGGCAGGGGATCAAACTCATGAAGCCACAGTGGCAACAGCTTGATAGCACTGAGACTTTAACTCCTGCACCACCAAGGAGACCCCGATATTTCCTTTTGCTATTTATTCAGTGGCTAAACAGTTATTATTGAACATCTATTATAGGGTAAGGAATTGATTTTGCCAGATGCTAGAGAAACTGAAGTAAGGAAGACTGGCAAACTCTGATCTTACAAGGCTTTACCTGGAAAATTGGGGAGGAGTCATCACATGCAATGAATACATGTACAAATCAATAACTATGGTTTCAGATAGAAATGGTATTTTCTGCATTGATAGTAGAGTCTTTAGAAGAAGTAGTAGGAGTGATTTTTCAAATTATTGGGTAAGGATCAATGAATGATGAGATGGAGTGAGCCAGAGCAATATCTTAGCAATGAGGGGCAGGCAAGGAAAAAAACAGAAGAGAAAGCCCCCATAACGATGTGTTTGTGGACAGTCAGAAGGCGAGCGTGACTGGAGTACAGTGTGGGGGAGTGAACTGGGTTATGAGGTTGGCCAGGCAGTCACTGTTCAGATCTCCTAAGAACCTCACAGGCTATCTGAAATCATCTGGATTTTATCCTCATTGTGATGGAAACCACAGGACAGTCCTGAACCACAAACAACTCTAATCTGAGTTGTCATTGAGACTCTAGGATGGCCAATAGATTATGCAGGTGCAAAGTCACCATTTTCTTTTCACAATAATCCTTGTTCTTTTTGGTCTTGGCACCTTGTCATATTCTTGCTCATCATGACATGTTCGCTGTGGTGCAAGCAAAACAAAACAAGTGACTAAGTGGAGGAGTGGATGTGAAAATCAGGAAGTACTGCCAAAGTTTCAAAAGTGCACAGGCTTAGGAGCACATGTGCACCACAAGACTGATTGATAATCAGCACAGTATCCGAGAAACTGGCCAAGTCTTAACATGAGCAGGAGTCACCTGCCCCAGTGTGGCTTGAAATGTGCACCCAGCTTTGCTATCTGTGCCTTTGATGCTCCTTAAACCTGCCCTGTCCTGTGGCTTTATTTGCAAACGCATTTATCACTTTATACTTGCCCAGACTTGTTTGAATAAAAGCTAGAGAGAACAGGAAGCAGCAAGATTTCCAGAGTGCCTCAGAGAAACTTTTCATCTTTGGTGGCAAAGCATATTGTTATCATCAAGGTCAGCTTCCAGCTTCAAGGCAATGAAGTAACAGGCAGTTTCTCAGATTTATCGATAAGTGCCTACTTTCATCTGATTATCCTTCCAGCAATATTAATACTGCTGACGAATTTCTAACCATCTGTTTGGAGGTGTGACTCTGTATCCATCAAATAGACCAAGAGAAACTTCTCAAATAATTCTCTTAGCAAATGATAAAAGAAGTTAGTTTCCCTCAGACTTATGTCATGAATTTTATTTTTAAAGACTTTATTTATTTTTGTGTAGAAGAACTGGGGTGCAGACCAGAGGTGTTGGGGGTGAGTAGATTAACCAGAAAGAGAGTGGGGAGCAGAATAGGTGAATCAACTGAAATAGACTGCAGAGGGGAGCAGCGGGCGAGACAGGAAAGGTCTGATGTGCCTTGTGAGTCACCTCCCTGACCGGGGATTGAACTCAGGCTGTTGAGGTGGGCCACCACGGTATAGTGCTGAGCCTTAAACTCCGAGGCCAACAGGGAGGCCCTATGTCATATATTGTTCAACAGACAGATAGACATTTCACAAGGCAACAGCTTTTTTCATGATCTCTTTTTAAAAAATCTTCTCAACTATCCCAGTTTAGAACTGAAAGAAAGGGAATTCTACAACTTGATTTGAAAAATATAAAAGTCACTGATATTGTGCCCACAGAATTTTCTAAACATCAAGCATGCTCCTGCTTTAGTTCCTTCTGGGGAGCCAAAGGATTGCCCCCCTCCCAAAACAGCCCACTTTTTCTTCCCAGAAGGCACCATGCCCAGTAGAAAAGAGCTAGAATAAACAAGAAGAAAAACTTTTTTTTTTTTAAGAATCAGAACTCTTTGTTCTTTTTCTGCCTAGACATGTTTTATTCCTTCCTTATTATTCCTGGAAAAATGCTGTTGTAATCATCTCTCCCAAAGTGAGTTACTTTGCTTTGTCTTAAGGGAAGGAATGTATTTCTCGAGGCCAAAAATAAAACAAAATACAGTCCTTCATGCCTTGTCCTTCATGCCTGGTTCACCAAAATGTGCCCAATGTCAGCTGAAGTAATTCATCATTATCTCTACAAGTCTCCATGGGCAAAAGTTCCCTTACACAAAATAGCAGTTGGACCCTGGGTTTCCATTTTCACTTGATACAAGTCAGTTCTCTGTGGTAACAGAGCCAATGGAATTATTCTTTTACTGGGGCTTTTCTTTGTCTCCCTTCAAGTTTTGCCACCGGCTGTGTCGTGGATGGGGGAAACGTGAGGTGCTCCTGCAAACCTGGATACACAGGAACACAGTGTGAAAGGTGGGTGCTGCCCCTCCCGGGCCCGCAGGTGGGGTGGGCTCAGCTGGCAGGCGCAGCTGGCAGGGACTGTGGGCGGGGCTCTGCTGGAGCTTGGCTCAGAGCTGGGTGGGGCAGCAAATTCACTGAGGCTGGAAATAGGTCTCTTGGGAAAATACAAGACTGCCCACTTAATAAATCATTAACTTCCTTCTGTTTCTTATTTTGTACATGTTTCAGAAATTTGAGAATGAGTCCCAACATACATATCATAGCCCTGTATTCTCACCAACATGCAACCCCACATATCCTTCCCCTTACCCCTCCCAGCCCTATGCACCCCGACCCTCTGCATGTCTTATTGACGTTTTAATCTCACATCACAGCTAGACTTAGAATCGATGTTAGGCAAAAATTGACCAAATAACCTTGACTACCTCAATATCCCATTTCTCAACAATCCACAGTTCATGTTGCCTGAAATATAGATCGTGTTTGGGTACATCCCAAAACCACATTCAGTAGGGTGAGATCTGCACAAGGAAACCAGACCCACTGGGGAAATAGCAGATTCACATCCTTGGTGTCACGTTCCAGGGTATGTGCCCATTAATGATGGGGCGGGGGGCGGGGCAGCTGTTTCTCCCTCGTTTACTCTCATGTTCTCACACATGCTCTCTCTGTGCCAGGGAGATTGAATTAAATTCACTTAAGCTTACTGTGTGAATGCAAGATTTCTATATAAATTTGCATTTATTTCTCTACATTTTATCTGGTTCTTGTGCCATTATCACTTCTGTAGCATTTCTGAAAGCATAAAATGCCTTTGAAACGTGCTTTATTGTTTGTTTGTTTATTGAGTAACATAGTTTTACAACACTGTGTGCAGTCTAGAGGCACAGGATCACACCTCTTCAGATGGATGTTCACACTCCCCACCCACCACGGCCTCCACTGTAGTCCATTGCTCTCTGTCCTCACCCTGCTGTGTACTCTCCTTCTCTCGCTCTGGTAGCCTCAATTCAATAGACTTCCTTCTAGGGCCATTGAATATTTGATTAAGCGAGATGCCTCCTATCACCTTTATCTAAAATTTTTCTTTCATCATTCTGGCATATCGTTTCCTGGATAAACTTTGGAAGAGTTTTACTAAATTTCAAGAAAACCCTGAAAATTAATTCAACTGGTTTTTGTAATAAAGTATGTTTGGTCCCGCTACACTGTGGTAATCTGAAGCATTTTGTGGACTTCAGTCTAAGGGAGGACTAGAAACCAGCAGAGTTGGAAGCAGAGGTGGAAGGCAGCTGAGCTCTAGTCAGGGAAATAATGCAAGACAGCCTAAGGAGTGAGAGTAGAAGGGGGGCTGCCTTATCAAGGGGAACACTGAGCATCAAGTAGGAGCATGGACACTGTCCTGTGGTAAAAAGGAACATTTCAATGTTCTGTTTTCCATTTCAATGAGAACAACATTGCCCACACTTGCTTCACATTTATATTCATTTTTCCTTCTGTAGGGGCAGAGAGGAAATGTCCCTCTATCCCTCTGGGTTCTTCTCAGACTGACTGAATGATCATATTAACATAAGACAGATTAGCAGGAAAAAAAGAACAAAGGTAGTTATATACAAATGGAGAATCCACATAAATTTGGATATTTTTTTCACATCGATTTGGGAATAAATGGGACTTCGAGGAAAGCAAAGGGGACTCACATGATGGAGAGCGACTCTGGACAAAGACCAAATCTCTGTAATTAGATGTTTTCCTGTCCCAAAGATAGTTTTCTTTCATAGAAAGTTTATTTTTGGTAAAAATCCTAATTCTGGGTAAGAACCCCAAACTTTAATCTTCTAGGTAGTTAAGAGAGTGATAAAAGTTTCTTGAGAGACTGCAGGGCCTCTATTAACCTAAACTCAAATTAATCCACAAGCCAATGACATGTCTTGGGAAGGCATGTTCTGAATATCTTGGGGAGACTTACTATTCTTCACTTTAAATAAAAAAAAAAATGTATGGAAATCCTAGTGAATACCTGGCACTGTGTCAAGAACCACAGGCACATAAGTGACCCCATCACAGACACTGCTCTCAAGTGGGGAACAGACATTAAGTGGTGAGGGCGACATACCTGTTTTAAGTCCGGCTGCAATAGGAGGGGTGCCCAACCAGCCTTGGAGAGTGAGGACCAGAAGGGGCACCAGGACTGAGACGGGGAGGGTGGGTGGGATGGGGGTGGGGATTGGAAGCTTTGTCATTTGAAGCCATGGAAGTCATCCTTGGTAGAGATTTCCTAATTCATTCCTCCTTATGGTTCTTCACAAACAATGAAATAGAAAACAGCAACAGGCTAGATGAGACATCCACTTGGCAGGCAGCTGAGTTGTAAAGAGGAAATCTTAATTAACAGCTCTCTCAACTTATGTTTGTTATGCTTGATGTAACAAAAAATCAAGTTATTGTTTCTGAAAATGTTCTTTTAACTTTTTCACAGGTAAATGCCATTATAAAGTCACATTTTTTCATTTGTTAAACTATTATTGAGCACCCACTCTGTGCCAGACCTCGCTCTCAGCACTAGTTGTTAATTATGCAAAGACAAAGACAGGACAGCATGGAGTGGGAGGTAGGATCATGGCCAGGACTTAGGTGGGCAGGACATAGTGCTCATTTGTCTCCCTCGGCCACCCAGAGCCACAGATGACAAACATGTTTTCTGCTCTTTATCTGTTGTGCCAATATTATCTATGAGATCAAGAAGCTTTACCTCAGTCCATTGTGTTTAACCACTACCACAGTGTGAGAATAAGGGAACCTGTTATTTCTTGTAATTGGTAATTAATACTCTGCAAAAGTAAAGAAAACAAGAATCAAACTTCCTAAATATTTATGTGACTATAATAAAAGTATTTTGTAGTTATGTGTCTTTTATGAGGAAAATAAGTGAAACATCTCAAGCTAGAGTATTTTATAACATAAGTCTTTTGTGTAGCATTTTTTTTGTTAGAAAAAATATTTTGTTAGAATATGAGCTGATCACATGAAGTAAAACCCTATTATTAGTGCATAACAATCCTGCTTAGTGGACTTAGGTAAGTCTCTTCAGTTCAACCACCTTCTTGGTAATTAGGGAATGGCTGAGTTTTTTGCTTCTCATTTATGTACTAAAATGTAGTAATTCCAAATGACACCAATTGCACGTATATATTTACATTTCATCATGTGTTATAATGGTAGCTCCCTTTTCTTGAGTGTCTATTATGTGCAGGCATTGTACTACATTCTTTATACATCATTTCTTAGCTCATATCCATTGAACCAAAATATTTCAATGAGTCGAGTTCATTCACTCACTCAATCAACATTGTATTTGCCTGGCACATACCATGTGCCCAGATTCTCTACCAGGTGGTAGGAATATATACATAAGCAAAACAGCCCAAAATCCATGTGCTTCTAAAGCTTACATTTTCATGGGATGCATGAAACTTGAAGGGTTAAGAAAACAGCTCAAGATCACATTAGTACATGGGAGAGTCAAGAATCTAGCCAGTTCTTTTTGATTCAAACCTGTGTCCTTTGCACACTTCTTGGATGCTAAATTTAAATTTGGAAAAGAGAGTCAAATACTCTGTTTCCTTGCTCCTATCTGTTCTGTTGATGATGAAACAGCACACACATTGATTTAATGAAAATTTGGTAGCAAGTGAGGGTGTGAAGGATAGGGTAGGAGTAGAACTTTGCTAATAGGCTTATTTTAATTCACATCCCACTTCCAGAAACACTGACATGTGTGTGTTTTGTTTTTTAAAAAACAGAAGCTCGGAACTAAGGAAATATGATCTAACTTGGAAATAAAGAACTAAGTTCTCATCATTAAATTATCTGGAATAATAAAAGCCAAGAGTAGCAGCTGTAACTGCTCTAAATTGTTCAAACTTGTTCTATACAAAACTGCAGGAAGCAGTGCAAATTTAACTTCTGCAGACTTGAAATTGAACAATAGGAAATATTAATTAAATCCCCCTTTATTTAAAAATTTGAAATTACATGAATTTTACTTTGAATCTTTTCTTTGAGGAAATTAGTCACAAATTAAGCAATATTTAGCTGTGTGATATCCTCAGGAACATAACTCTTGCATAAAAACAATCACTCCTGATTTCCATATTGGTTAAGCCACTAACTAACTCCTATGTGTATTTTGTTTATCTTCCATTCAGGTATAGGAGTAAATGGGGATTCGGTTGTTTTCATGTCAAGGAAAAAGAGAGCTTGCTTCTTCCTCTCATAAGTTCTCTTTCATGCCATACATATCTCTGTATTGAGACATACTCATTCTTGAAAATCAGCCTTCCTCCTATAGTGTTATAATTTCCCAAATAGGGAGCTAGAAGTTGAGTAAATTGGCTTGTATGCATGATGAGTTATTTGACTGTTTCCTCTCTTTTTCTGTATTTTGTGTAGGTGTGCAGCAGGATATTTTGGAAATCCCCAGAAATTTGGTGGCAGCTGCCAACCTTGCAATTGTAACAGCAATGGCCATTTGAGCAGTTGTGACCCCTTAACTGGAGGTAAGATAAGCTCACATCTCTGTTAACCCACATTTATAAAACTGGTATAAACTGGTATAAAATAACAGTTGAAGAAACCAAGCAAACATTGTAAGGCTAGCATAATATCATCTTTCTTCATGTGACTATTTGAAGAAACCAAAATAGTCTTAGCCTAATAGCAATAAATGTTCTGGAATGTGAGTTGTAAATGATTGAGATGGATTTTGTATGCTGTGGAAAATACAATTGCTGAAAGTTAATATGGATTCATTAGGAGCAACTTGAAAGCCAGAGGAAGACTCCCTTCCTTTTTTGACAGAAAATATTAATATAATTTATCAGAAAAATGTTACTGATGTAATATGAGACCAAATCCTTGGAGAAATCTCTCATAACAAAATGAAGTACTAAGTCCTGGGTCTAGGGATCAGAACTGGTCAAGTGACTGTTCCCAAGGGAATGCCAGGTAAATAGGTCATGCTTCAGGGTTTCATCCTCTGTTCTCTGTTGTTCAGCATTTTTTACTTGAATAGACATACAGGTGGCATGCCCACCTAGCAATGAGATGATGCAAAGTTGGGATAGATCACAGATGCCTCCTGTGACACATTTAGAATACAAAAGATCCTCAACAGCCTGACATGATGGGCCAGTCCTAACCAGATAAAGTTATGTTGAGGATAAGTATGTGGTCCTAAAGTTAAATGGGAAAATAATCCACCCTTAAGTATGTGGTGAGTTGTGGCTTAGCAGCAGGAAGTGTAAAAAAACTTTAGGTTTCTGTCAGCAGAAGTTCAATTTGGCTCAAGAGAGTAATGTGGCTCCCTAAGAGCCCTTACACTGTCTTCATTCAGCTATAGTGTCAAAAATGAGTGGTCTGACAGGCCTCGGTCTGCTCACATAAGTACTTGTGTGGATTTGTGTCTTTAGGAGACAAGAGAGAAACTCTAGTTTGTTTAGAAAGAGAGGAGATTGTGAAGGGACTTAGAACCATGTCACATGAGAAACAATTGACAAGGCAGGAGAGAAAAGACTTGGAAAGAACTTATTTGAAAGACTGGTGTGTGGTCCAAGTATTGGTCATGTTTTCTTGTGGCAAATGGTACAGAACTTATACCAAGGAGTGGAAGGTAGAGGGAGCTCTATTTTTGAATCATTCCAAGAAAGAAGTGTCAAATGTTTAAAGATGAAAGGGGCTATTTTATTATTTTTTATTTTTTTTAAAGATTTATTTATTTATGCATACAAGAACTGGGGTACAGGCCAGAGGTGAGGGGAGTGAGAGGATTCACCAAAGAAAGAGTGGGGAACAGAACAGGTGGATTGACTGAAGTACACTGCTGAGGTGAGCAGCTGCAAGACAGGAGAGGTCTGCTGCGCCATGTGGATTGCTCCCTGGCCGGCCGGGGATCGAACTTGTGGTGCAGAGGGTGTGGAGCGCTTCAGTGCTATGCTTAACCCTTTGTGCCACCAGGGAGGCCTGAAAAAGGCTATTTTAAAAGGGGATGAGTTCTATCACTGAGGTTTTCAAGGAGAAGTTTCAACATCACATACAGCTTATTCATGAAGCAACATCTTTTCAACCCTCTTTTCTCCTGACTGTAATAATAAAATAAGCAACCTGAAATGAGAATGGTAACTACTTGTTCCAAAAGTGGAAGAAAATACTCATATATGAGATTTGTTTGTTCTTGTGAGCTTTCTTTGTTGGTTTTTTTGTTGTTGTTGTTTTTAATCAATAAATACAGGTTCTCTGGTGCTCAGATCTCAAGCTTGTTGAGAAAATTGCACTGATAAGGCAATCATCCACACAAACCAAGTATCCCAGACGCCCAAGGTGCTGTGAAATTTTTTGAAGGAAACTAACCCATGTTTCATTTTTCCTGGACCGCAAGCACTTAATCTAATTGAGGAAATAAAAGTCACACAACTTGATATGCATGAAAGAATGATTCAAATATTTTTTAAAGGATGAATAAGAGAAACTTGTGATTATACATAACAATAATATAAAGTATATTCAAATCTATATATAAAGGAGGCATTGTTTTCCCGTGGTAGGATCAAGGCTTTTAATCCGATTTCCCCAAATTTTCCATAGTGAACTATAAATTTTTTACAATTAAAAGTATATATGGGCCTCCCGGCTGTGGCGCAGGGGGTTGAGATGTAACCTATGAGGCTGTCCGCAACGTCTGCAGCACTGGTTTGATTCCCCGGCCGGCCAGGGAGCAGCCCACATGGTGCAGCGGACCTCTCCTGGCTCGCCCTCTGCTCCCCTCGACTGTGTGCTTCGGTCAGTCTACATGTTCTGTTCCCCGCTCTGTCTCTGGTGAGTCCTCTCACCCCCCACACCTCTGGCCTGTACCCCAGCTCTTGTGTGCATAGATGGATAAATCTTTGGAAAAAAAAAGTATGTATGATTTAAAATATATGCGTATACTCATTAAATGTGTAATATTATCTGTTGCTGAGTAGGAAAAGCATGGAAGCTTCTTTGTAGCCTGTCTAGGAAAATTCCAAGCTTTGAGATTTCGTGTGGTGTGGCTAGGTTATTTTTCAGAGGCACATGAGATTGTAAGAATGTATAGTATGGGGGAAAGAGTAGAAGTGGAAGAAGTAAAGTATGTCCAAGGATGACCAGTAGTCTTTCCAGATTCTTGCTCAAAACCTCCAAATTCCACTTATTGCAGTAGTTGGTGGTGTGGGTCCAGTAACATCGTGCACATGTCTCTCTCATAGTGTCTGTCACTGTTGGACAATTTGTTGGCCTCCCCTGTGGGACTACGAAACCACAGGACAGCAGGGATTTTTGTCTTGCTCTTTTTGTATTTTCTGCACCTTCATAGGGCCACGGCACATAATTGATGTTCAAAGGTGCTCAATAAATGTTTACTGAATGTTCGTGGATGATATTGGAAGAGATGCCAGCAGTTGTCTAGTAAGCTATCAAATAAATGACAAAAACCTTAACACCACTGATTGGGAATTTTAATTTGATAAGAATATCACCAGCTTTGTAGAGAAGAAATTGAAAATATTAATCAGGGTGGTCACAAGAGAAGTTTCTGCAGCAAGACTCAGCAAGAATGGTCAGAAATAAGAGAGATCTTGGAACAGTAATATGGGTAAGGGAGGGGAAAAGGAAGGGTTGGTGATGCTGGAGAGCTGGGTGACTAAAATTTTCTAAAACCAGCTTTTCTAACAACCAAGTGAAAAAGCAGATGAAGAGTACACTTAATAATACTATCTTCTTTAATTACTCCTCATTTCAGACTGCATAAACCAGGAACCCAAAGATGGTGACCCTGGAGAAGAATGTGATGGTGAGAGAAGAAAGCCCCCCTCCTTTCTAACATATGGAATTTAGTTTAAGATACATGAGCCCCAAGCTGAAGTGTGCAGTTTCCAATCTTGAAAAGTAACGATGGCAGGAGGGAGGTGGAGGACTACTTGGGGTCAAATCCATCGTCTGTCAACTACTAGGTGTATGATCTTAGAAATTAACCCTACTTCTCCAATCCTCGTTTTCATCATTTGTAAAATGAACATAATAACCATGCCAACCTCATAAAGTTGCTAGAAAAATTCTTGTAATTCCTTTATCACAAGGCCTGGTAAGTAGCAAGCACTTAATAAATAAAAACTATTTTTTCCCTAGAACCATCATTTATTGCTCCTCTAATTTTTTGAGCTATAATTGACATACAACATTGTATTAATTTAAAATGTACAACAAAATGATTTGCTTATGTATATATAATGAAATAATTATCATAATAAATTTACTTAAAATTCATCATCTCGCTTGGTTTCAAATATTTTCATGACAACAACTTTCAGGATCTACCCTGTTTGCAGCAGCCACATAGCCAGTACAGTGTTGTGGACTGTAGTGACCATGCTGTACCTTATAGCCTGGCACTTATTTGTCTTAAAACTGGAAGTTTGAACCTTTAGAACACCTTCACCTATTTCCCGCACCCATTTTTTTTTAAAATGCTTTCTGCATACTTCCCTCATTCAGAAAGCTCAAAACCAGATTTGTGCAAAACTGATAAGATGCTCAGAATTTTTATTTTTGCCTGAGATGCTCTATATGCATATAACTGGGAAGATAGTCCTTGTGCTCTGTTTGCATCTCTGTGCCTCTGGCCTACAGAACATTTGCTTTTGCTTGTGGCCCTTACAGATTGTGACAGCTGTGTGATGACACTCTTGAACGACCTGGCCACCATGGGCGACGAGCTTCGCCTCGTCAAGTCTCAGCTGCATGGCTTGAGTGCCAGTGCGGGCACCCTGGAGCAGATGCGGCATTTGGAGACCCAGATCAAGGATCTGCGGGTAAATACCTGTGGGCTCAGCATGCATCTGGCCTAGACACCTGCTGAGTAGGTGCTGCGTGAATGAGTAGGTGCTGCAGGGGCGGGGTAGGAGGGGGTGACTCCCTATAAGATTCAGGGCTTTCTTCCTCCCCTAATCCAAATGAAGATTAGATTTTTACTGCTGAACAATGCTAATGAACAACAAAACTAATACAAAGCTTATGATGGAGCTATATCCTGAAACATCCATCCTAAGTCAAAAATATAGTAGGTCAAAATGCTTTTAAAACACCTAACCAACAGAACACCTAAACTTAAATGTGCTTAGAACATTTACATTAGCCTACAGTTGGACAAAATTGTCTAACACAAAGCCTATTTTATCAAGTGTTGAATATCTCATGTAATTTATTGAAAACTGTACTGAAAGTGAAAAATAGAATGCCCTCATTCCAAATTTGGAGGATGCATGTCACTTTTGCATCAACGTAAAGTCAAAAAAATCACCAGTCAGACCTCTGTAAGTCAGGGACTCTCTGTTCTTCTAAGTAAAAGTTCTTTACCTCCTGAATGTTTCTAGGCTAATTTTTCTCCTAGAACTTTTAGTTTAGTATCTTACATTTGGAAGACTCAAAAAAAAAAAAAAAAAAAAGATTTGTATAGGTTGATAGGAATTATTCTTTAAATATTTGAAGGGATTTTCCATGGGTTCTCTGTAGGCATTCCCATGTTGGAAGATTTTTCAGGTTGTCTATTTCTTTTTGGGTGATATTTGGGTGATATTTGGTAATTTGTGCTTTTCAAATTTTTTTTTACATTTCATTGAAATTACCAAATGTGGTAATTTGTGCTTTTCAAATAATTTTTTACATTTCATTGAAATTACCAAATGTATTGACATAAAATTGTTCATAATTACTCCCTATTATCTCTTCAATATCTGAAAAAGCTATGGTGATATTCTCTCATTCATTCCTGAGATTGGCGACTTACAGTACCTCCTTTTTTCTTGACTCTTTTGGCTAAGGACTTACTTGCTTTACTAAACCTTTTTACTTTTATTTATTTATTTTTAATTTCACTAATTTCTGTTATTATCCATATCTTCTTATCCTTCTGCTTGCTTTGGGTTTGATTTGCCATTTGGGTTTGACTTTATATAATATTACTGTTCTCTAGTTTCTTAAGGTGAAAGTCTATCTTACTGACTCACAATCTTTCTTATTTCTAATATAAAATGTAATGCTACAAATATTTCTCTTAAGCACTACTTTAGCTGTATTCCACACCTGTGGGAATGTTGTGTTTTCATTTTCAATCAATTTGGAAGATTTTCTAATTTCCCATGTGGCGTGTCTTTGGCCCTTAAGTTAATTAGAAATGAGTTATTTAATTTTCAATTGGTGGTTTTCCAGACAACTTTCTGTTACTGATTTCTAACTTAACTCTTTTGTGGTCAGAGAACACACTTATTCTTTTCAATTTTGAGGTTTGTTTCATAGCTCAGCATATTGTCTGTCTGGGATAATGTTCTATGTGCACTTGGGAAAAAGGGGCCTCAGAAGGTACCCTGAAAAGTAATAGGGCTTAAATTATTCCTACAGGGCAGTGTTAGACTCCTTTTGGGATACTGAAGTCTCTTCTGCCTATTGATAGAGGCTGAAAAGCAACCTTGAAATTGCTCAATGCTCACTCTTAGACAGTGGCTATGTAGGAAGCCAGAAAAGCTACAACCTTACCTCTAGAACCTGGACAAGATTGACAAACCAGGATCTGTACTGGAATGTGACATCTTCAACATCACTTTAGTGCTGAAGTCCAAGGCTGCCAAAAGAAGACCTAGTGCTGGACTAGGGGTAGGAGTGGTGGGGGTAGGAGTGGTGATAGCTATAAGATCACTCTACAGGGCACAGAGATGCAAAGAGAGTAGTAGTATCCTCCTACTTAGGATGAGCCTGAAAACACTGCAATCGACTAATAATGCAGAGACATCCATCAGGAGCAACTGTGGAGAGATGTTTTCTCTTTAAAGAAAGTGAAAAGAATAGGACAATATGAAAATTACTTTGAAGAGTAACAGCTAGTAGAAGGAAAAAGAATTTGGGACATTTTTAGAACATCAGAAAACAAACAAGAAGAGGGAGAAAATGAAATTAAAAATCATGGAAATGAAAAAAATATCTCATGACAGTAAAAACAATTTAGTAAATGAGATAAATCCTAAACTAGACATATTGATAGAGGCTTTGGGGAGCGTTGCATAAGCGACTTTGAAATGAGAGCTGATTCTAAACACATTAATGAGACAGTGGCCCCTCTATATTTGTGAGTTCCATATCCTCAGGTTCAACCAACCCAAATTAAAAATGTAGCTATGATAGTTATGTCTGTATTGAGCATGTACAGATTTTTTTCTTATCATTATTTCCTAAGCAGTACAGTGTAATGATGATTTGCATTTACATTGAATAGGTGTCCTAAGTAATCTAAAAAGGATTTGAACATTTAAAGTATGTTGGTTTTATGAAAATATTGTGCAATTTTGTATAAGGGACTTGAACATCTGAATTTTTTTTATCCAAGGGGATTCTGGAACCAAACCCCCTGAAGATAATGCAGATAGGGACAACTATCACCAAGGGGAAAAAAAAAAAAAAGATGCTAGAAAAATCGCTTTTTCACAGGGTAATTTTCATCCAAGTTTTATAGATTTAATATACAGGAGAAGGAGGGAAAAAAGTCTTTTTGTTTTGAGAGAAAAAGAAACCACTGGCGTTATTTTGATGCCATTAGTACAACCCTGTGCTTCTTTAACAAAGGGAAGGGAACCAACATTTCAGTACTCACCCTGTGTGCCAGACTTAAGTCTCATAATATGCTAGTAGGAAAACAGCCTTATTTTCCTTTAACAGGCCTTTAAAAGCCAAGCAGCTTGTCTACAATTACACAGCTATTATTTGGTGGATCTAGAAGAATTCAAAGCCAGATCAAATTCTTAAGGCCACATTTCCCCACTATGCTTCTTGTCCAGTTGTTCCACTAACATTCCTCAGAATGATGTGCCTCAGTTTTTCATATTAAGATTAAATTAGAAATATCTTTTGGCTTTATCACACAAATATTATGTAAATTCAACAGTAATAAGTATGCAATGAAAACTAACGATTTTGAATGCTTTTATGTACATGACATTTTGTAATACTTTAGCCCACTTATCAGCAAAAACAACCCAGCAGCTTAATATTATAATTCCCAGTTTACTAATGAAGGCTCAGGGAGGTTTATCTGCTAAGTGTGGACCTATGGTTTAGATGGTTTAGAACTACATTGTAAAGTCTCATTCTTTCATACAACACTTGCTCTCACATAGTAATGGAATAATTGTATGGTTTTTTCCTGTGGTTCTTTGCCAAGTATCAGTTTTTTCCAAAAGGTTTAAAAAAAAATTACCACTTTAGATACAATATACAGCAATGTCACCCTCAAAAAGTAATAAGACAGTTTAGTACCCCCAAAATTACAGGGGATCCAGATTTGGCCCATCCCAAATGAGCTCTAGAGACATGGCATGGACAAACCACACAACTTCTTTGGTTTTCCATTTTCTCATTTGAAGATGAGGATATTCAATTAAATGAGCTCTGAGTTCCCCTCCTGCTTTAAAATTTTTTGAATCTAGGAGTTCTGTCATTGAAGTACCATAAGTGCCAAAGTTAGCATTATCAGGTTAAAGGAGCTGAATTTGGGCCTCCCTGGTGGCACAGCGGGTTGAACGTAGTGCTGTGAAGCTGTCCACAGCCTCTGCAGCTCGCGGGTTCATTTCCAGGCTGGCCAGGGAGATACCCACATGGCGCGGCAGACCTCTCCTGTCGTGCCAGCTGCTCCCCTCGGCAGTGTTTTCGGTCATTCTGCCTGTTCTGCTCCTCGCTCTGTCTCTGATGAATTCTCTCACCCTCCCATGCCTCTGGCCTCTGTACCCCAGTTCTTGCATATATAAATAAATCTTTTTTTAAAAAAGTCATCAAAAAATAAAGATTTAAAAATAAGGAGCTGAATTTATTATAGAATCTGTAAACTAATACATTAGGAAAGTGGTGTCACTTCTGTTTCTATATACGGTTAGGTCATTAATTCAGGTGAAGTATTACCTGACTCTTTATGTTTTGAAATCTTGCTACTCTTGCTTTAGGGTCATAGCACAGTTTACGTTACAAAGTAGATTCTTCAATGTAGCCTACTTCAGAGAACCATATTTTTCCCCCCTGTGCAAGCAGCTTTGGTCTTGATAAGTGAATTGTTTCATTTCATCACCAGGGTTATCAAGTTAATACCAGACTTGCTTCAAATTTCTACCGTAAAGTGACATTAACTTTGTATTTTAATTTCAGAATCAGTTGCTCAACTACCGTTCTGCCATTTCAAATCATGGATCAAAAATGGAGGGCTTGGAAAAAGAACTGACTAACTTGAATCGTGAATTTGAGACTTTGCAAGAAAAGGTAATACATTAGGTCAAAACATTAATATATTTTGCATTCAGAATATTATTAGTTGTTTTCTTCCATAATTTAGTTTGCTGCTAATCAATTTACTTTTTTTATAGGCTCAAATAAATTCCAGAAAAGCACAAACACTACACAACAATGTTGATCGGACAGCACAAACTGCAAAGGAGCTGGACTCGAAAATTAAAAATGTCATCCAAAATGTGCACAGTAAGAAGTGTTATTCAGTCAATGAAATATTTTTTATATTACATAGCCTTTTGTGCTATGTGATCTTATTTGTGAAAAAGATCCTGCAGTGATACTAAAAATCTATTAAGAACCCTCTATAAAAATATCTGCCTTTTTATTAAATAGTCTATTGGAGTTCAGAATTCCCACATTAATAAACTACTCAATGGTCTCTAGTTCTTGTGAAGCAGATCTCTGGGACAGATGGAGCAGGAAACAGAGTGCCTTCAGGTGATTTTTCCAGAGAGCTGGCTGAAGCGGAGCGCATGATGAGAGAAATGCGGAACCGTGACTTTGGAAAGCAGTTGAGAGAAGCAGAAGCTGAAAAGAGAGAGGCCCAGCTCAGTAAGGACACTCCCTAATTCTTACATTCAACCCATTCTCTTTGGTTTGAAATATGGTGTGCAAAGCACGCTGTGAGGGCTCTGGTTACAAGTAGAAAATATTGTTATCATGTATGTTGCTGTGAGAGCATCTTGTGATGAAACAGGTATCCCTTCAAGTTGTCAAGAGGCTGTGGACTATAACATCTTACAAAAGAAGAAGAGGTTCATCCCCTAATATAGTAGTTTTTGGATACTGGTACCTCCTTTTCCTTTTTAGTTGTGTTGTCATTCTTTCACTCAGTTCCTCTCAACTTCCTCATAGCGTTTTTAATGGTTATCTCACCACCACTGAATTTTAAAATCACAAACTGATATTAACACTGCTAGTACAAAAAATGGGTACACTAGACATTAACTGAATATATCTAATGTTCTTATTAGGGAAGGTGCTTCATTGTTCAAAACTGAGAAATATTAGTTTACTGTATATATATATATACACACATCTATACATAAGCATATATTTTCAATTACTGATCTTCATTCTTGAGTAAAATGTTACATCAATAATTAATATACAGTAGGAGCAGTTCCCTGTTAGCATTTGTATTATTTACATTTAATATTGGCCTTGGCTTTTTTAACTGTAAGGAGACAGTATTAGAAGCAGTAGCAGCAGGTGCTATATAGTTGCAGTTCCAAGGCTGACTTGCTGGTCATGCAAACTTGGGTCATCACCTGATTTCTCACAGTCCCCATTTCCTTATCCAAAACAAGAGAACAATCATGGTTATCGTGAAAGTTAAGTCAGTGTGTGAGGCACATGGCAGGTATGCTACACAAATGGTAGTGTCTTTCCCATTCCCTTGCAAGTTTAAGGAAAACCACTAGTAATTAAGAAGCTCAAGTCTCCCTCTATAGCCTATAACTGAGCTTCAATGTACTCATTTCTCACATGGAAAACATAAAGTGATGTATTACAGTGCTGAATCAGATAAGGAGCTGGCTGGAGAGCTACCAGGGGGAGAACAGTGGACTTGTGAAGAGTTTACAGGGTTCTTTAAATGAATACGAAGCCAAAGTGATTGAGCTCCGTGATGCGCTACAGGAGGCAACTTCCCAAACAAAGCAGGCCACTGGCCTCAACCAAGAGAACGAGAGGGCCCTGGAATCCATCAGGGTGAGTTCATGGTTGGAATGGGCATGTCTCCGTAAGGACGGATGCAGAATCAGGGATTTTGTTGTCATACCAAGCACCCCTCTGTCTGTCAATCCCTAGTGAAACAGAAATGGGGCATTCAGTGCCAACCAGAGTCATTCCTACTGCTCAGGGGCCAAAAATGTTTCTAAACTGAAACCACAGCAAAAGCAGAGAAAATTGCTTCACCCCTCCCCTGACTGGAAGCATAGTTGAGGGATAATGTTATCAAGTAGATGAGAATTTAAATTAATTAATTAATTCAAAAATGGAAATTGTATGCTTTAAATAACTGACTTTTCATATCAGATGTGCAGTAACCTAATCATCAACTAAGCCATGAAAAAGTCAGTACCTGCTCTCTCATTAGGAAATAAGTCAAAATCCAGGCTGCACATAGGAGATGCAGGGATAGAATGTGGAGCTTAATATTCTGTAGTTTACGTTTCAGAGGTGAGCACTGTGTGCTAAACCACCACAAAAACATGAGGGATTCTGAAGTGACAGAGATCAAGGTGTAATAGCATAGGCCTGACCCCCCTAAAGAACTTAGTAAAACAAAATAAAAATAGCTCAGCAGATGGCAATAAGGTTAACAGCCTCTGTGATAGTCAGAACTCTGTTGGAAGTACCTGATTACTCCAAGGGAAGGGAGCAGGTCTAATTTTCTGGGTCTCTGAACTCTGGCAGCACCCTCGCCTGGCTTCCTCAGCTCCTGTGTGCTTCCCTACTGAAGCCCCCACCTCTTCAGGGGACTGACACGTGGAGAGTACTCAGGGCTGGCGTTGGTGTGTTTGATTAAAATCCCTCATTCTGATCCATGAGCCAGAGATTAATTATATACCTATATACTGGCCGAGTTGACCACAAAGGAGGAAGCTTCTTCAACAGTGGTAGCTGTTGTTTCACTGACCCCAGTTTGAGGAAACTAAAGTGGCACATTCCCCTACAAAGAACTGACCGCCCCTGGCTTCATAGCTGCCTCGATGGTCAAGAAAACATTCTGACTCTGAAAATGCTTCTATGCTATTGTCCAATCAGTTCCTGTGCTTTCTGATAATACAGCATGATCTCAAACAGATGCTGTCTTTATTTTCTGCAGAGACAAGTTAAAGAAATGAATTCCCTACGGAGTGCTTTCACCAAGTATCTAACCACTGCAGACTCTGCCTTATTGCAAACTAATGCTTCCCTGCAGTTGATGGGGAAAAGCCAGAAGGTAGGGATGAGACTTGTTTTCTAGAAAATTGAAAACATGTAAATTATATTGCAAGGAAGCTATGATATGGGTTGACTGATTGCTTTCTCCAACATAGGTCTTTAAGATGGAAGGAGATACACCAAAATGTTAACAGTGGTGCTCCCTTGGGGAGGGGCATATATGATACGTCATCTTCATGTCTATCTGTGTTACTTAATTTGCTTACAATGTGCAAATGTTATTTTTGTGATACAAAAAAGATTGTAATACTATTTTTAATATACAAAGCAAACCTTTATTAGCAGAAGACATTTAGGATTGATAATAGAATGACATTTCTTAGCTGCCCAATGGGCATTTTGAAAATACCCTTTATAATTGCTACTTCTAAATCAGAGTGTGTTTTGGTGTTGTGTAATCTTACCTAAGGGTAACAGTTTGCTTTTACAAAATTTATCAAAAGTGGTATCCACCATAAGGAAAATGTTCCAAATGGTGGTAAATCTTGGGAGAATCAGTGTCACTATATGAAGTAATCAAGGATTAATTGGTGTCCCCTTAGGGCTTAGAAAACAATTTCTCATGTGTTATCTCCTAGAAATATGTCATATGACAGAATTTAGGGAAACGGCATGTACATTCTTTATTTAAATTTACACTGTCTCTGTTTACTTGGAAAAATAGGACTATGAGAAATTAGCTGCCACTTTAAATGAAGCAAGACATGAACTAAGTGACAAAGTGAGAGAACTTTCCAAATCTGCCAGCAAAACGGCCCTTGTGGTGGAGGCAGAAAAGCACGCGCAATCTTTACAAGATCTGGCAAAGCAGCTGGAGGAGTGAGTGGGCTGGGGGTCTAGCTGAGCCTAGTGTGAAGAGCTCCCGGCGAACAGGGTCTCCAGAACTGGGTGAAGGGTGGGGTCCAGGGCCCACGCAGGTCTGAACCCAAGCAGCCACAGAGGGCTGAATCCCGCTTGTCCTTAGGTACAGCTGGGGAGCTTGCAACCTCAGAATTGGGGTGTCTGGGGGCTCAACTAGAGGGAAGGAGGGCTGCTGGAGCACTTCATCTGTCTGTCTTCCAGGATCAAGAGGAACACCAGCGGGGATGAGCTCGTGCGCTGTGCCGTGGATGCTGCCACCGCCTACGAGAACATCTTGAATGCCATCAAAGCTGCCGAGGAGGCGGCTGACAGGGCCACGAGCGCATCTGCGTCAGCCCTCCAGGTGGGCAACTGTACCAGCTCCTTCTCCAGATGCGCCCTGGAGCTGGCTTGTTTCTTTCTGTGTGCACTGTGAGGAATATAAGGAAGCATTATTTTAAATCACACTTTGTTAATAGAATAGATTCAAACTTGCTCTAGACATGGGTCCTTAATATTTCTCTATACTATGTATACTATGTATACTAACTTCACTATCAAAATTGAACCAAGGAAAATATTACAACCTACTCATTAAAAGGCATGCTTTTATGCTGTGATTAGTATTAGCATTTACCAAAGAAGAGAGAGAATTTTGTAAAGAAATTGATAACCATTTTCCCCAGACATTTGGTCCTATACCTGAGCACATCTGTGGCGCCCTGTGGGATATTACATGAACTATATAATATCCCTATATCTAAAAACAAAGAACAAAATATTAATTATCATAGAGGTAGGGGATAGGTCTTGGAAGTTTGAAGACTGATTTTCTAAAGACTCAAAACTTAAAGCAATTCAGTTCTATCTTCAGTTATCGCGAGGATATTACAGAAGTGACAGTGAGAAAACAAGACACACGTCACATAATTTGTAAGCTTGTCATCAGAGCTGGGTCTACTTTCCATACTAGGCTCACAAATATCTACCTGGTCCCCTAAGTGTATCTATAAGGAACAGTCTTTTGAAATACACTGCCAAGGGGAAAAGCGGGCGACACAGGAGAGGTCTGATGTGCCGTATGTGGGTTAGCTCCCTGGTTGGGGATCAAACTCAGGCTTGGTGGTGATAGTGCTGAGACTTAACCCCTAGGCCACCGGGGAGGGTCCAAGAAACAGTCTTTTTAAACCTCCTACTACCTTTGCGCCTCATCCTTTAAATATTAAAGATCAGGGTAGGATCAAAAATCTTACTCCCTTATTTCTTAAGGCATACCACATGCTTAAGACTGATAAATGCTTTGCTTTCAGACAGTGATAAAAGAAGATCTTCCAAGAAAAGCTAAAACCCTGAGTTCCGACAGTGATAAACTGTTACACGAAGCCAGGACAACACAGAAGACACTGCAGCAAGGTACTGGGGGCTGGGGCGACTGGGATAGTCAAGGGTCTGGAATAAGGAGCAGCCTTAGAAGCAAATGCTCCTCCTGAATCTCTGGATTTCATTGTTCATGCAGATGGTCCCTTGTAATCCATGGTGAACTTATAGAGTGGATGTTTCCACCTAGTATTCTATCCTATCATAGTATCCTGAATTAACCTAGTATCCTGAATTAACCTGAATTAATTTAGTATCCTAGTATCCTGAATAGTATCACAGTATCCTGAATTAACCTAGAACATTATGAATAAATGTAAATCTTGAGGGTGACAGGTCTGTTTAGTTTGTCTAATCTACTTGTGAGTGTGGCATTAGGAACCCAGGTAGTACAGAGGTATGTGCAGTGCTGGCTACTTCTTTAAGATCATTATTTCAGGTCATTAGGGCAACTGCATTAAAATTTCTTAAGTCCTAATATCTTAGCTACTAAAATACCAAAGTTCACTATTACTGTGTATCATGAGAATTTGGCGGTGGGGGGTGTAAATTTCATCTTTGGACATTTTCCATGTATGTAATTTTTGAAAAAAGAAGTTACACTGTCTCAATCTCACCAAATTCTTAAATGTGTACTTAAAATGCTCTCTTGATTTTCTCTGGGTCTTGGATCTTTTATGTGAGCAAGCATCTGAGTCCACAGGCCTTACTCAGCTTCTTAGTCATTTCAGGGGATTAAATGCTGCCTTCTCCCAGTAAATTTATTTATTTGTTTGTTTGTTTGTTTGTTTATCTATCTTGTTTTCATTTTTAAAGATTAAATTCTTGACACATAAAATTTAAAAAAAGGCATTAACATAAATTTCAGGTATTAAGATTTCCTAGTATGCCAATTTGTCTCTTTACAAAGTTTGATCTAAGAGGTGAAGGTAAATGTTTTACACAAGATTAGGGTACTAATTACATTCTAACTGGTTCTTTGAACCAGCCCTGGAATCATTAATTAAGATATATGTTATCAATTAGGTTGTAAAAGCATTCTCTGGCATTTTTTGTGACCCAAAGTTAGCAATATTATCAGTTAAGAATGTCTATGAACTCCACTCCTTTCTCTGAATTTCCTTAAATGTGTCATTTGGAAATGAACAGAAGCAAACAATGACTACTTTGTAGTGTGTTTGCTTAGCTGAGTCTCTCTCAATAGCACTCTTTCTTGCACTTTAACAGAAGAAGCATCCTTTTTGTAGTATTCATGCATTTATTCATCTGTTATTCATTCATTCACTTATATATTTGTTCATTCATTCAACAAATATGCACTAATATTAAGCTGTGACTAGTGTCAGGCATGACCCTATAGCTGGGACTCAGCACTGACACCTCTCTTTCCTTCACAAAGTGGAGAATTTTGCCCTGAACAATGTAAAAGTTAAGCTTACCCCTAAATTATCAAGCTTCTGCATTTGTTTCTTGTGTATTTCCAAGGAGCCTGTCACCACAGAGAACTCACAAGGCTCTGGTATGCCCCTGGCCTCTGTAACAGAGGACCCTGGAGATGTGAGTCTGGCACATACCTCTGAGATGACCCCCTAAGTGGCAGGTCTGCCTGATGTTATGCTACTTCAGAGGCTACTGATGCCAATGGAGCATAAAAATCCACAAAGTAATTGTCTTCTTGTTCTTTGTTTTATTTTAGAAATAAGTTCAGCTCTCAATGACCTGCAGCAAACTTTGAAAGTTGTAAACAGTCAGAAAGATCTGATACACACCAATCTCACTACCATCCGTGATGATCTTCGTGGGATACACAGAGGTCAGCATCTCCCTAACCTGCTGTCCTTAGCTTCTTATGTTAAGCCCACTTACTCTATGCTGTAACCCCTTCCTCCTGCATTTTCAGCCTCTCACTCATTCTCAGGCCCAGGTCCCTAAATGTGGCTTTGATCCAGAAAGTAGGAAAGGTTGTGACTCATTACTGGGACAACTCTCCCCATGCTCTTGCTCATCTTTCCTTGATTTCTTTAAGCATTTTCAATACTTATACCTCTCTGTTTGTGCGTTAGATGACATCGATGGTATAATCAGTAGTGCAAAGAGCATGGTCAGAAATGCCGATGACATCACAAGTAAGGTTCTGGATGGACTCAATCCTATTCAGACAGATGTGGAAAGAATTAAGGATACCTATGGGAGCACACAGAGTGAAGACTTCGACAAGGCTCTCACAGATGCAGATAATTCAGGTATCAAGCAGCTTTGGCCTAGATATATTTGCCATTTTCTCCTCTGGTATGTATATACTTTGGTTAACTTTAATTCTCTTGATCTTAGAAATTAAAAAACAGTTCCACATAATATATACAAAGAGTCTAGCTATACTATTAGTTAGAAGGACCAAATAGGGTTTTTAAAAAAATCTATTAACATTGCTATTGATTTTCCCTATTATAGAAAGGAGATAGAATCTCTAAATCAGAAGGTATTGAATTAAGGATATTAAGGATCAGAGAACAGAGATTTACTCTTTTTCTATAGTGGTCAGTGAAGGGTATTTGTTACCTGGACTGCAGAGTAAAATCTGTGATGTGCTTAGAACAGTATTACTTGATTCTGAGTCCTCCACTCCAACATTTGAGACCAAAACACACCATTTGATAAACACTGTCAATGAGAACATCTGTTTTTAACCTTTTCTCAACTCACAATTAAAAATTTCTGTTTTGTATTTTCACCAATAGTGAAGAAATTAACCAACAAACTGCCTGATCTTTTGAGCAAGATTGAAAGTATCAACCAACAGCTGTTGCCACTGGGCAACATCTCTGACAATGTGGACCGCATCCGAGAGCTCATTCAGCAGGCCCGAGATGCTGCCAATAAGGTGGGTGTATCCCACCTGCCAGGCACAGGCCTGTTCTCTGAAAAGTTATTAAAGTCATCAGGAAAGAGTCACTTACTCAAGAGGTGCTGTCTTTCCTGCTCTAATTCTTTAGCTGCTTACAATATGAAAGTTGATTTCTTCCTGTCATCCTTCAAAAGTGCATATCACCTTCAATGCCCTACAGGATCTAAGGTCCCCAAAGCAGCTTCCCTTCCTTCCTGCAGGCAGGAAGCAGGTTTCTCCTCCATGTTCCAGTTAGTAAAATGGGATTGCGAGTTCAAGTAAGGATTCTGTGATCAGAATGTGCTGCTGTGATACCACACAGGAGCTGCTTTCTTATTGTAACTTGAAAATTAGACTCCAGTTTCACTGAGACTGGAAGGATGGTTCTTACCAGCACGGGAAGCATTCTGGGAATGATATTCAGCAATTTCCCATCGTTGGGGACTGATCAGTAGCCTTTCTCATTTTAACCTGTCATTACTTCCTTGAATTTCTGACACTTCCTTCTCACAATTTGTTTTGTCCTCAAATAATATAAATGAGTTATCCTGTATTTTTCAGCAATCCCCTGATGAGATATTTGGAGATAGAAGGTTGGTTAGAAAGCCAAGTTAGAGTATCATTTCTCTGGAGGCATGGTGGTAAATATCTAGACTCAATATTTCCTATTTAGAATCTTAAAGTCTGTTCTTCAAGGTAAGAGAAGCAGTCCCAACATTAAACAAAGAGGAGACAAAGCATAAAGCAGTTATAAGAAACTAACCTCTGCATACCATATATATGTCATAAAAAACAAATGAAAAAGGATTTGTTTCTAACTTTTGCTCTTCTATGTTGATTTGCTAATTTATTCAACCAATTTTTTTAAATTTTCTTTTATATATTTTTTACATTATTTTTCATTTTTGTACAATGTATGCATTTTCACCTTGGTTATATTCCCCATACAAGTCCCACCCCCCTTATTTTAACCCTAATCCCTCCTCTCCTCCCCCCCTGTAGTGTGTCTCTGGTTTATAGTTGCTTGTCCATATGATCCAGCAATTCCACTCCTAGGTATTTACCCAAAGGACACAGAATCATTAATTCAAAATGGCACCTGCACCCCTATGTTTATAGCAGCACTATTTACAATAGCTAAGCCATGGAAACAACCCAAATGCCCAAAAATAGATGACGGGATCAAGAAGATGTGCTACGTATACACAATGGAATATTACTCAGTAATCAAAAAAGATAAACTCATGCAATTTGCAGCAACATGGATAGAGCTGGAAGGGATCATGCTCAGCGAAATAAGCCAGAAAGAAAAAGAAAAATACCAGTTGGTCTCATTCATAGCAGGAATTTAGAAAACCTAAATAAAGGACCAGGGAAAACACTAATTATAATAAAGTAAATATCAAAATCAACAAGCAACTATTCAACCAAATTTGAAGTGTCTGATAGAACACTGGCTAAAGCTGGTTACCCACGTCACTCTTCCTTGGTTTTAATCCCAGCTCTGTCACTTGTGAGGTCACCTTGGTTCAGCCACTTCACCTTCTCTTCTCTGTGGCTTGGTTTCTTCATCTGCAGAGCCAGATAAATGATTGTACAGACCTCATGAAATTATTAGGATTAAATGAGCTGATAGGAAACATTAGCTTGGCTAATAGTACCAGGTAAGAGGAAAATAATTTTTAAAAATTAGTCAGCAAGTGCTTTTAAACACTCATCTTGCCTGGAATTCTCCAGCTTGCCCAGGACACAGATTTTTAAACTCTAGCCAGGACTCAGGTAGTTCACCCACTGCTACAGTTGGACTACACTGACAAGCTGAAGAAGGTGTGGTATGCAAGGCTGGAAATACTCACTTCTATCTGAGAAGGTTCAGAACAGCATGAACTAATAACACAAAAGTACATGTGTAACAATATTCATCATGACACTCCTTATAATCCCCAAATATATTTGGAAAAAGAGTCAAATGTCCATCAGCAGAAGATGGATAAAATTGTGATAAAGACCACACAACAGTAAACCTGAATGAGTCAGAGCCGGGTGTATCGACACAGATAAATCTCAACATAGGCAAAGAAAGCAATTTATGGAAAGCTGTGTAGAGTTGGATGCCATTTAAACACAAATATTTAAAATATTTGAAAACTAAGATTAATACAGTTGAATTTATACAGCTAGATACATGTTCAGTAAAAACATGAAAATATGCATGGAATCCAAATCCAGGAGAGTGGTAACCTCTGAGAAGAGAGAGGAGGCTGTCGGGAGAGGGGATATTCAAAGGGCTTCAATCATATCAGTGGTGTTTAATTTCTTAAGATGGTGATGCCCATCAGGGTGTATTCTCCAGCCTTATTTTTGTATAAATGAAATAATTTCTTCAATAAAAAATAAGAGAATGAGTAAGAGTTTCCAGGTGGCAAAGTGAAAGGACATGGGAGGAATGATTCAGAATGTGCGTGGCTGTACTGAGCAGAGGGTGATTAGAACAGGGAGCCATCAAATAAGCCTTCTGTGTAGTAAGAGGAGCTCAGGCCTGAGCACCTTGGAGAGACTCTGGCACCTGCATTGCTCAGCCTTCTGCACATGCTGCCTCTCATGCAGGGGGCCGCATACATGTTTACATGCTTGGGAGATAAAATGAAGACTTAGCATATGTTCCAGGAGTGCTGTTTTGTACATTGTTAGAGACCATTTATTTTCTGCATTTTGATTATAAGCTACGCAACTTGGTCTACAGACCAGACCTAGTTAGAGAACCTTTGTTACTGATCTATTGCACATTAGTGTAAAATGGAAAGTAAAAGTCTAGAAACTTTAATAATTTGAAATCAACTCAACATATCAACTCTAGAAACTTTAATAATTTGAAATCAACTCAACATGGTTCAGTGGGCATTCATTTTGTATTACTTCTTTCTTTCGTTTTTCTAATAATTTAATTTTTAATCTACTTTATAAAAGTATTGGTCCAGGGCAGAATAGAAGGAAAATAAAATGGTCCTTCACTGGTGAACTTAAGGAGCACTATTTTAGAGAGCCTTGCTGCATTCATTTTGAAGGACTAAATGCCTATGCTAAATGTAACCATTACATGCACTATGTTAATGGGAAGTGGTTTCTTAAAGAGTTTATTTTTAAAGGCTATTTTTGATGTATTATATATCTACTATATGGCAGCCTCCTTGTTAAGTGCTTCCATGCATGTTAGCTTATCTGCACAAAAACTTCTTACGGTTGGAATAATGATAGCTGACACAGAGAAGTAAACGCAGTAAACGCATTTCCCCAAACTCCCCTGGCTGTTAAAAAGGAAGAAAATGAATGTTTTATGGCCCAGCTCCTGAAACAGTCTCTTGAGTTTATAATCCAGATCTAGGAGACTTTCACACTCCTTTGCTCCCTAGTGACTTGGGAAAGGTTGACAGATAGTCGAAGAGAGTAGCTGCAAAGTCATAAGCTGTCACACTGAGCACGCCTCCTTCTCACCTTAGATCTTATCCCTGGCAGGTCGCTGTCCCTATGAGATTCAACGGTAAATCTGGAGTCGAAGTCCGGCTACCAAATGACCTGGAAGATATGAAAGGATACACATCTCTTTCTTTGTTTCTCCAAAGACCTGAATCAAGTGAAATTGGGGGGACTGAGAATATGTTTGTGATGTACCTTGGAAATAAGGATGTAAGTATTGTTTTGGCAATTCTCTTACTTTTAAAACAAAATGTAGTTTTTGAGATGCACAGCACAATTGTGTCAACAAACCCCATCACCTGTGATGGTGCCACAGGAATGGGGGTTTCCCGTCAGTCATGGATTGTTATCTGCTGAAGATCTGGAAGCCTTGCCAGGTGGGCCCAGCACATGGGCATATGTGTGTTCACATGAACACATACACACCTGGGGTTAAAGAGCCATATCCCTCCCCCAATTAACCAGGGCAGCAGTTTCCAGACTTGGTGGAAACCAACAGTAGATCTTCCTTAAAGGAATATGACCCTATCTTCTTCCTCAGAGTGCCCAGCTACAGACCCTCCCTCAAGTCTGGGGTGTGGGGACTATCTGTGAGGACTGGAGGGACTGAAGCCTCTCCTGCCCTGAAGAATAAAAAATGCAGTTACCCATCTCTTTACAATTCTAATTTCTTTAATCACTATAATCATAGGCATTTTGGATGGCTCATTTTAGCTTTTAGTCCCTCCACTTTAAAATACTTCTTTTTTATCACTGAGTAGTATTCCATTGTGTATACATACCACATCTTCTTGACCCACTTGTCTGTTTTGGGGCATTTAGGTTGTTTCCATATCTTAGCTATTGTAAATAGTGCTAAAGTAAAAATAGGAATGCAGGTTTCCTTTCAAATTCATGTTTCTGTGTACTTTGGGTAGATTCCTAGTAGTGGAATCTCTGGGTCACATGGGAGATTCATTTTTAGCGTTTTGAGGAAATTCCACACAGCCTCCATAGTGGCTAGACCAGTTTCCATTCCCACTAGCAGTGTGAAAGTGTTCCCTTTGGGCCTCCCCTGGTGGCTCAGCGGTTGAGGGCTGGGCTGCGAGGCTGCCTGCAGCCTCTGCAGCGCTGGTTCGTTCCCCGGCGAGGGTCCCACCAAAAAAAAAAAAAAAAAGTGTTCCCTTTCACCACATCTTTACCAACATTTGTTGTTTATAGTTTTTTTTAATGTGGGCCATTCTCACAGGTATGAGGTGGCATCTCATTGTGGTGTTGATTTGCATTTCCCTGATAACAAGAGATGATTAACATTTTTTCATGTGCCTGTTGGCCATTTACATTTCTTTGATAATAAGTGATGTAGTTTGTGGCAACATGAAAGGAGCTGGAAGGGATTGTGCTAAGTGAAATAAGTCAGAAGGAAAAAAGATAAATAGCAGATGGTTTTACTTATATGGGAGTATAGAGAAACTGAACAAAGGGTTAGGTAAAATACAAAACTTGCAAGCTGACCATAGATCTGAGGCCTACAGCAGTGGAGGAAGAGAGATAGAGGGATCAAATTGGGGCGGGAAGAGCACAAAGGACTATGGTGATGGATCATGGGAGCTATGGTTGGTGGGAGAATTACAGAGACTACACCTGAGGGGAGAAATCAAATACTGTCCAAAAATGAACAATGATGTAAGAAAATAAATGTTTTAAAAAAGAAGTAAAAACAACATTTATATACTTGAAATACATATATTCAAATATATATATATGTATATATTCTACTAAGTGTTAAAGGAACAAGTAATCACTGACTGGGTTAGAATATAGTGGTTGGAAAAGAAATATCAATACCATTATTTTAATCGCTCATGCTTCAAGATGGTGGTATTTTACCTATAGTTTCTTATGACTTTCACTTTGTGTTATGGCAAAGTGCATATTACTATATTCCTTCAAATTTATACCAGGTACCTACTAGGTGTCACACCCAGTATTTATGATAAACAAAAATTTGCTTCTTTATTCTGCTTAATGTCCAGTTAAAAATGGTTAAAACAGCCAATTTCATATTGTGTATATCTGACCAAATTTTAAAAAAATTTTATTTAACTTAAAGGAAGAGAGTTATATCCATATTCATAGTTGACCATGATAACACAGGGGGTTAGGTGTTTTAACAGAGGTGTGTACAAAGCGTTAAGAGAATATTATTTGGAATGAGGAGAATGGAGATGACTTATCTCCCTTAAAATCTAATGGAAGATTAAATCCATATTCTGGTTCATCTTCATGGCAGTTGCTTGGCAAGTATTTGTAGATTATGCAAATGGGGGTGTAAATGAGTGAATGCACTATAACATGAACCCAAACAGCTCAGGTGTTGTTGATATGTGTTTTGTCTTTATTCTTCTATATACAAGGATGCACCTCATTTATTTTTTTTGCCCAAGGCTTATTGATGCAAACTCATTAGTCATTTAAATGTGCTCTCTGGGGTGAGAAGTTGAGATGCTCTAATTTGTGCAGTGCTCTGAGGTGTCCTTAATGTTGCCAGACCTCCAAGGACTACATTGGTATGGCAGTCGTAGATGGCCAGCTCACGTGCGTCTATAACCTGGGAGATCACGAGTCTGAACTCCAAGTAGAACCTACCTTGACTGAGAGTGAAACTCAGGAGGCAGTTATGGACCGGGTGAAATTTCAGAGGTACTGGTTTGATCGACTACTGCTCTTTGTTAATCTGACCTACATCCCCTGACCTTCCGCTGTACATGTTGGTGCACCTCCTTTTAATATCTTGGCTTTAGTTTCCTCCATTAAAAAATGTGTTGATATAACTTTATTATCAAATTTATTTTAAAACAGAATTTATCAATTTGCAAAGTTTAATTATACCAAAGGAGCCACATCCAGTAAACCAGAAGCACCTCAAATCTATGAGATGGATAGTGGAAATAGCAACACACTCCTCAATTTGGATCCTGAAAATGTTGTGTTTTATGTTGGAGGTTACCCACCTGATTTTAGAGTAAGTGTAAATGTTATTTTACTATGTGAAAATATTTAATTTTATTTGGTATTGTGACCTCATGTCTCTTTTCATTATTAATTGGATAGAAAATGAATTTATATATATATTCTTAAAATATATATAGCCCTAATAGCTAACACAACAAGCACTACCTATGTGAAGTAATCTAGGCTTATGTATATTAATTTAATTAAGAAGCACATTCTCAGATAAAGGAACTGAGGCAAGTGGAATGATTTGCCCAAGGTCATATAGCTAGTAAATAGCAAATCCAGGGCACCTGGCTTCAAGATCCACATTCCTAAGCCCTATGCTATATGGATGGTTTAAAGTGATAGACTTGTATTTTGTCTTGATCAACCTGGTCATTGTCCTTTGTTCAATCAGTGGAAGACTTTTTTGTTTCATGTTTTCAGCTTCCCAGTAGAATAAGATTCCCTCCGTACAAAGGTTGTATTGAATTAGATGACCTCAATGAAAATGTTCTGAGTTTATACAACTTCAAAGAAACATTCAATCTCAACACAACTGAAGTGGAGCCTTGTAGAAGGTAAATGAAGCCTTAAACCCAGTGTTTCTGTAAATGTGATTTGAGTAACTTTCAGGGATATTACATATAATAAAAGGATAAGTCAATGAGATGCAATTGAATTTGCTGGTTGCTTTGGGCCAGAGGTTCTTAAATTATGCTTACATAAAACATTGCTAATTCATTCCTAAAATCTAATAACAGTCTTTTCCTCATTTGTATAATGATTAAATTGATCAAGTTTCCTTGATTTGGAAAAAATAATTCTTTCTTAAAATAATTCTTTCTTAAATAATTCTTTCATGCCTCTACTACAAAAATTCAATATTAGGGCCTCCCCAGTGGTGCAGTGGTTGAGCGCTGGGTTGTGAAGCTGCCCGCAGCCTCTGCAGCACTGGCTTGATCCCTGGCTGCTCCCCGGCCACCAGAGGAGGGTCCTGCATGGCGCGCAGACCTCTCCTGCAGCCCACTGCTCCCCTCAGCAGTGTACTTCGGTCCTTCTGCCTGCTCTGCTCCCCGCTCTGGCTCTGGTGAATTCTCTCACCCTCCCGCGCTTCTGACTATACCCAGTGCGCTTCTGACTATACCCAGTGCTTGTATAAATAAATAAATAAATAAATAAATAAATAAATAAATAAATAAATAAATAAATAAATAAATCTTTAAAAAAATTCAATATTAGGTAGTATCTGATTTAGGCACAGAATCATACACTTATTCTAAGGGTCAAAAAGTATGCACCATGACTTCCTAGGTATTCTGATACCTGAAACTATTTGAAAATTGCTACCTTGAGCTTTTGACCTTCCCTAGAGTTAAAAGAACTTGGAATATTCTAACACGGGACAAAATATTACAGAATTACATTTTATTTCAAGTTAATAATTTCTTGTGCTCTAAGATCTTCAGCTGCTGGGTCATATCTTCCTAAATAGATATTTCGAAAGGGGACTCGAGTATTATCTTTGTTGAGCTATGAGGGTTTGATTATCAAGAGGAGAAGAGCACACCCAGGAGAAATAGCTGGATGTTTTTTTTTAATGGTTTAAATGTTTTCTTTTCTTTCACAAAATCATGACAACTCTATTGCATGTTTTGCTCTGTTTTCCAAAATAGCAGTATATTAATAAATTACTTTTTGTGGTAGGAGGGTCTTCCTTTGCTGCTATCTTCTAACTTATGATGGTTGATGTTTACAGGAGAAAGGAAGAATCAGACAAAAATTATTTTGAAGGTACAGGCTATGCTCGAGTTCCAACTCAAGCAAATGCACCCTTCCCAACCTTTGTACAGACTATTCAGACCACCGTGGACAGAGGCTTGCTCTTCTTTGCAGAGAACCAGGTAATTTATAACATGCATCCATATACTATCAAATATGTCCATTCAGTTGAATAATTTGGCAGTAACTGGGTTATTATGAGCAACTAGCTAGATCTAGAAAAGCAATGTGCAAATGCTACTGACATCCTTTCCCTTATTCTACTTTGCTTACCCACAGGAGTATTTCAATGAGGCAAATAAGCAGATTGAGAACTTGCCACCAAAATGTGGGAAGAATCTCCCCCATCTCCCATTTTATTCTCCTTGTCAGTTTTATTCTTGGAAAACTACTGCTTGCCTCAAACTCTATGTATCCTGCCTACACACTTGTGAAGATAAGACAAGCATTAAACTCCTCCTGGGGTTCCTGAGGGTTAGACTGCTTGATCTGTCTGCATCCAAAGTTTGATCTGCCTCTTGCCAGGCTGTGGGATTGTGTTTTTATCAGCCTGACCCTTGACTCACTAGCACACAGAAGCTTCTCTATTTTCCAGAAACTCCAACTCCTGGAGGTTGTTCTTACAGGAAAAAGTCCAGGGCCATATGCTGGTAAATGGGCCTGGAGTTGTCCACTCCCCAGGCTAGGAGCTTCTGTAATTACTCCATGGGTAGTATTTCTGAAAGAAATGTTGATCAATGCATGGGCTCTCTGGTCTGAGAACATGTGATTGATATGGAACTTGAGACTTTATCAGACCCTTGTACCTGTAGGTGGTGACACAACCATTTCTGGGGCTGATCTGGACCCTCCAGGAGACTGATTCCTAAGCTGAATCAGTTCTGATGGTTTGAGAAGATTCCAGTTTGCCTAAAAAGTACAGAGAGCTGAGAAGCCACACAACATACTCAGGGCAAGATGGTTATTTTCTTTTTTGTTGTTGTTTTTTTAAAAGATTTATTTATTTATTTATACAAGAGCTGGGGTACAGGCCAGATGCACAGGAGGGTGAGAGGATTCACCAAAGACAGAGTGGGGAACAGAACAGGCAGACTGATGAAATACACTGTTGAGGGGAGCAGCAGGCGAGACAGGAGAGGTCTGCAGCAACACGTGGGACCCTCCCCGGCCGGCTGGGATCGAACCAGCACTGCAGGGGCTACAGTGTGGCGCTCAACCGCCTGCATCACCAGGGGAGGCCCCAAGATGGTTATTTTCTAAAACAAGGTTGTCTTTGGATTACAATCGAAAGTTCTTAGAGATTATGAGATAGAAATACTGCTTATATTAAAAGAAAACTTATGAAATGCCTTTAGTAATGAGACAGGAGAAAATGATCTAGAGTGCTGCATTAAGTACGATGGCTTATTACTCTCAGGAAATCATGTTATTGTATTGATTTTGAGTGTGGTGAACCCTAACTGACTCCCAGGTTTCCAGGTAAGAACTGATTTTCTTTTTAGAGAAGGTCTCTAGCAATAGAATTCAAAGAGAGGCCTTCCTATTACTAGGAAATGCATAAGAGAAAACCTTCAAGTCCTACTGAAAAATTCCTCAGCTTATCTTTCCACAAAGGAAATAACTGGTTGAAGTATGTGCCATAAACCTTGATGGGGATGCAGTCACCACCAAGACAGAATGATTCCTGCCCTCAAGCACCTTATAGTCTAGAGGGGAAGAAAACTATTAAACAGTTATGCTCATTAATCAGCTAATTAACTCATCACAATGGTAGTGAGCAGGAAAACCTTTGAGGGGAAATGAGGATGTATAATGGAGCAAAGGATTCTTCTTAATCTGACTCAGAGGACCCATAGAAGGCATCATCTGAAAGCCAGAAGTTAGGAAGCACAAAGAAGGTTCATAGGTGGAAAGGCAGGGAGCAGGGATGGAGGGTGACTCTTGTGGCCAGGACATAGAGCAACAGAGCTGGTCAGGGTCTCCCAGCATCTGCTCAGGAGTAGTAAGGGCATTTATCCAGTGAGCAAGGCAAGTCACATGCTTATGCTGGCATTTTCAAAAGACCATACTGGCTACAAAGTGAAAATGGATGCAAGGGGGTGCAGAGTGGACCTGGGGAGGAGAGTGAGTTCTTACTGTGTAGCCCAGCTGATGGAGTTGTGGCTGAGATTAGGTGGCAAGAAATAGCGGGGCAGATAAGATTTGACTGCATGGGAACAGAAGGGAAGGATCCAGAATGATCCTAGTAAAAGTTGCAACTTACTTAGCAAGGTGAGAGAGAGAGCATTGTGAAGGATGGAGAGGCAGGCTTGGCAGCAGGTGGCAGGCAAGGAGAGCATGAGGTCTGTTTGAGAAATTACAAATTTGAGTTTTCTGTGAGTCACGCTAGTGATAGTGGCAAGGTGTTAGATACAAGGCCTGGCCCTGAAAACATAGGTCTCAGTTGGAGAAAAACGTTTAGGTTCATGGGCACAGTTGAGTTCCTGCTACAGGAGTGACTGTGATTCCAAATAAAGCATGTTGGGAGGGCAGGGTCTCGTGTGGGATCCCCAAGGAACCCACCACATTTGAATGTCAGACAGAGGGGGGTGAAACAGCACATGAAGCTGAGACATAGGAATATGTCAGGAAACAAATGTTAGGAGAGGTCTAGCTAAAGTAGACCATACCTCTCTCCAAAAGGTAGCAGTCATGTCTTCAAATGATATTAATGATTTGTATTTTTTCAGCTTCCATTTTTTCATGCTGGTTATAGATTGCTCTGAATTAAAATCATGATAACAGCTAGCATTTTTTTGTGTCCTTCCTGTGTGTCAACCACTGTTCATGCTGTTTAACATGACTACAATATTTAACCATCACACCCATGCCAGGGATTGGATATTACAGTACTACTGTCCCTTTTTACTAAGGAGGCAGTTGGAGCTGATACCAGATTGTGACTGAGAGTAACTTGTGTTCATTCTAGCACTTAGCTCTTCCTCAGTGGAGTCTTCTGGTAATCTACTTGGTTTCCTTGTTCTAGGATCGCTTCATTTCTCTAAATATAGAAGATGGCAGTCTCATGGTGCGATACAAACTGGATTCAGAGCCACCAAAAGAAAAAGGATTTAGAGACCTTATAAACAACGGCAAAGATTATACGGTAGATCCTTTGAGTCTGTTTACTTGAATGATAAAACGGTCTTTCCATATAAAGTCAGTGCCCAAAACACTTTTCTATAACCAGATGAACTTACAGTTACTGAGAGACATATGCTTTTAAAAATTGAACATTTGGATGTGCAATATATAGCATTTATGTGGTATATACAAAATGTGATTAATTTCAAATGCAAACATTTCTAGTAAAGTATTTTAATATTATATTTATCCAGAAGTGCTATTGCTTAGTCTTCCTATCATTATATAAATGAATTTGAAGGAAGACAAACACACAATAGCTCTGGACCGCTGTGACTAGCATCCTTTTGTGTCTTGTTGCTTACCGACTCATCTCTCATTTGTCTCAGATTCATATTAAAATCGGAAAAATCCAAAGGCTTATGTGGATAAATGTGAATGTGCAAAGCATTAAAATCGAAGGTGAAATATTTGACTTCAGCACATATTATCTGGGAGGAATTCCAATTGCAATTAGGGAAAGGTAAGATGATGTGGGTTTTGTTTGTTTGTTTGTTTGTTGTTTGTTTTAAAAGGAAGCAGATGACCCCTCATAGAGGTTATGATTGCCACTGGTCAGTCTACCTTTATAAATTCCAGCAACAAACATGAGAAGCTAACATTTGAGTATTAATAGTGTCTGTCAAAGCATAAAACAGGCTGTAAATGCTGGGTAATGGGATTAGCCATGGGGAAGGGAGATGGAAAGTAGAGTAACTGTACTCAACCATTGTTATTCTTGGGGGGAGAGAAACCACAAGGAACACATGTTGACAAAGCAGCCAATAGGAATGGAGGCTGTGACCTGGGGCCCTTAAAGGCCCTGTAGGAGAGCAGGCTGTCCTATGGTCTGCACTGAAAACTGGAGTTGCTGCCTTCAGGAAGTGTCTCCTAGAATGTAAAGCACATCTGTGTTGTCTACCCCTTATATGTGAGAGAATGTGCAATAGCTATGTAGCTTTTCTTGGATCAATCAATATATAAATGAATGAAATCAACTTGAAAGGAAGTGAAGCTTAATCTAAATGAGAATGCACTTAAAAATAATTTTTTGCAATTTGTTGATTTGTTTGTATCCTCAAAAAGCCTTTTTGATAGCTGTTAATGTGTAGAAAGAAGAATCCCTGCGAAGCTTAAAACGGCCTCATGTCTACATTAAGAGTGTTCCCAGAATACTTGATTATGATAATGACTTTTATATATTAATGCTTTTTCTAATTTATAAATCACTTTTTCTAATTTATAAAGGCATGCTAAGTGTGATATACAGGTATAAAGGCATTCTTCTCCTGGAATCCTTATACATCTGTGCTTCCTTCCATCCTTAGCTAGGAGGTACTAACCTTTGTTTTAAATTTATCAGTGTTGCTCCTAAAGATAAATATGCAGGTAAAAAAGCCTTTAATAGAGTTTGGAGGTGAAGGTCTTTACTCCTTAGATTCTTTGGACTGGATGGGACCTGCATGATCATAGTGTGCAATCTTAGAGTTTTAAGGAAGAAATTGAGGGCCAAAGAGATGATATTAATATTTAATATCATCAATATTAAATAGCAATTCAACCATGATAGCTAGTTATGAAAGATCAATGATCTGGATTGTATTCCACTAAAATGGAATAAAATACAGTAACTTCAGTGGTCAGCACTATGTTACACATGTGAGGCTCTTGTTCATTTGTTCATTACAGAAGTTTCATTGCATGTCTAGTGACGTCAGGCAATGTTGGGAACAACCATGAACAGAGAAAGTCTCCAGTGCAGGAGAAGGGAGACACTAGAATGTGACCAGTGTTGTGCATGAGGAAGATTGGGGTGCTGGGGTGCCTGGTCCAGTTGAGAACATCAGGAAAGTGGCTTCTGGCCAGGACCTGAAAGATGCTAACCATTAACACATGTATAGAGTCAAAAACTAGAGAAAACATGGGCTTTCAAAGAATTGGAGACCTCTGTGAAACAGGCCTGTGGCTGGTGTGGGAAGCAAGGACGAGACCCCAGAGGCTTTTGAAAGTCATGATAAGGAGCCATAAGGAAGGTTCCAGCAGAGAAAGGGCATGATCAAATGTGGGTTTTCAGCAGCTCCCAGTGGTGTGGAGAGGAGACTGAATCAGAGAGGACAGGGGCAAAGGCCAGTGGAGAGGTTGATGAGTGTGTGAACACAGGTGAGTGATGAGGGTGGCCTCACCAGGGAAGCAACAGTGCAGGTAAGGAAAATGGAGTGGGTTCCCAATATATTAGCAAGGGGCAGTAGGCTCAGTGATTATTTTGGTTTGGGGAGTAAAGGAGTATAGAATGACGCCTGGTCTTTGACGTACACTGGGTCAGTGATGAGCACCAGCAGAGGAGCAGGGAGATGAGATGAATCTGAGATAGGTTGAGTCGCTGCAGCCTGAGGGACAGGCAGGTGGAAATGCCTGGAGACAGTTGCACATAGGCCTGACTTCTGGAGAGAAGTAAGGAAGGGGTGAATGAAGCTGGAGGTACAGGGGTGAATGAAGCTGGTCATTGAAGCTGAAGAGGCAGCAGACTCATGGGGTAGAAAGGAATTTTCAGAGGTTTGCATTTGTGTGGTTCAATAGAGAAGTGGGTGCCAGTCAGGGTTTACTGGAAAAGGGCAGCAGATGAGAATGAAAAAAAGTGTTCTAGTTTTGGCTCACCCACCAGAAAGAAGTGTGACCCTTGGTGAAGTCAGCATTCAACCTTTCCTCCCTTATCACCTCTGTCCATGGAAGGAAAAGAAGTATGGATACATCTAGATATAAAATTTTCCTGGCAGTCAGTCTTAGGGTCTTTCAAACAAGGGATTGCTTCCTTTTTCTGCATAAGCTTTGACTTTTTTGACTAAAATTATAAGAATGTGGAAAATGCGAGACAGAGACCAGTCAAAAGACTTCACTGGCCTTTTGCTTCTTTGCATGTAAAATGCTAAGCAATGGTCAGGTGTTTGTGGGCATGCTCTATCCCTCTGGTGATGTCTTTGACAGCCCAGAGAGTTGCAGAACCCCCTGGTGATGGTCATTGGGGCTAGGTGGACATAGAAGAGTGCTTCCAGTAAGCCATGGCCCAGCGCTGAAGGGGCAGCAGACAGTTCATTCAAAGGAGGGGCCTCTGCTTAAATGGAAGATCTTTGGAGACAGTCAGCATTTCAACCTAATGTAGTGCACAAGCTAATATAATCAACCTCCAAACAAGCAGTTTTAACCAAGAGATTTGATGGGTGTTCTGTTGTGTCCTGGCTTACTGTAGTCTGTCTCCTGGGAATAGAAACCCAGATCTCAAAATGACTTGTTCAAGATTATAGTCAGAAAGCACAATCTATTAAGCCCATCTGCTCCTCAGAGAAGAGCAAATCATCCCTGATTATGCCCAAGGGCCCCAAATCACCCACAGTCTTTTCCTGAGAACTCACCCCCTGTGTCACAGAATGCAGTGATGAAATGTTAATAAAATGAAAATAATATGAAAGTAAAACTCAGCCAAGCATCTATTGAACATCTGTGAAGTACCCAGTACTGAGTTGAGGACTCCATCGTACTCTTTCTGTCCCCTGAAGTCAGCCAGCAGCCAATGTGGAGCTGACTTTTGTGAGTGGACAGGCCCAGGGTGTGTAGACATACCCCGATGGACTGACTGTTTTTAATACCACAGCATATACTCCGATGCTATCATATGCCTCTAGCAAGTGTGTTGAGACCCTGCATTCTGGAGTAAACGTGGAACTTGATGAGTCAGAATGTTCCATCTTAATATCTGCTGTAGGAAAGTCATGGTCACTTCCACGTGCTGGGGGTGGGTCACACTAGCTTGTGTGACACACTGACCACTTAGGTCCTGGTGCTGCCACCTTCCTGCTGCATGACCTTGGGCAAGTTACATGACTTTCCCAGCCTCCCTGCCACATCTCCTACAGGGCATAGTAACTACCTCGCTCCTCCACTGGTTGTGAGGATTCAGCGTGAGTAAAGGAGTTAGCACAGTGCTCTGTAAGAAGTGGTCAATAATGAGATGAAATATCTCCCCCACAAGGCTATTGTGAGGATAGAATCATAGTCCCTTGCACAGAATAGGAGCTCCGTATCTGTCAGCTGTCCTTCTGCCCACCTCTTCTTTTCTGCCACATTTGTCCTCCTTTGACCTATACTTTGTGGAAAGAAGGCTATAGGGGTATTGACAGATCTAAAACATGCAGAAATCCAAGAAAGAATGGATCTCAATATATATAGCTCAATAAACAGACTCCAGGAATTAATAAGAACTTGCCTCATCTTCTGAGGCATAAGGCCATCTTTATAAAATAATTAAGCAGAGACTGCAGTACCAGTGAGGATCCTTTCCTCCTTTTAATGAAATTTAATTTTATGCATATTCCGACTTGTTTTTTTATGATGAATTAAATAAAAACGAATGCAGACACGTTTCCATTTTTAAAAGTGTGCTGCCACAGGGCTTTATAATGAAATAGGCTTTGCATTTTCTTAGAACATCATTTAGTTAAGAAACACAAATATTTGCCTGGCCTCCTGTCAGTTCCTGTGTGTTACTGTTTTCTGGGACTTCAACTCTAGACAGAACTAGAAGTCAAGTCAAAGGGAAAATGGCAGGGCAGCCACGGAAGCACTGCTTTAGAAATCGTTCTTATTGGGGCCTCCCTGGTGGCGCAGGCAGTTGAGCGCTGCACTGTGAAACTGTCCACAGCCTCTGCAGTGCCAGTTCGATCCCCGCCGGCCTCAGAGCAACCCACATGGCGGGGCAGACCTCTCCTGTCTCGCCCGCTGCTCCCCTCAGCAGTGTGTTTCAGTCAGTCTACCTGTTCTTCTCCCCTCTCTGTCTCTGGTAAATTCTTTCACCCTCCCCCACATCTGTACCCCGGTTCGTGTATAAATAAATAAATCTTAAAAAAAAAAAAAAAGACATTGTTCTTGTTATAATGACAGAGCTAACATGGGGATAGTTCCTGGCCCAACCATCTCACACTGAGTCTTGCTCTGTACCAGACACCATTTGAGTGTGTTACCTGTATTTTCTCACTGAAGCTCATGACAACCCTGTGAAACAGATCAACCTATTCCTGTTGTATAAATGGGGAAACAGAGGCATAGAGCAGTTAGTGACCTTATCCTATAGCAGGCAGCTTGGCTCCAGAGCCCAAAGGAGCACTACTTTACCTCTCAGAAAAAGTTTTCTAGAGTATTTCTGGCTCTAGTCAATTACTTCCTTCTGTAGTATCTATTACTATGTGTGTATTATGTATAGTATGTTAATTTGTTAATCTACTTTCTCTTTACCATGCACCACCATGACTTTGCAAGGGAAATGGGAAGCAACTCTAGTTATTGTGTGTCTTCTGTTTCTCTACCTTTTGGGGACCCTGTCATTCCTCTGTCAAAATCACTTTAAAACTAATAATGCAGATTTACCCAAAGAGGAAGTAGATTTCCCCAGCATCATAAATGACTAGCATTATGGAAATTCCATGAGAACAGATAAATCAAATAGACATTGGTAGGTGAGAAGCAGTCAAGAGCACAGTGTTGCATCTCCATTTCTCAAGCAAGCCTGATGTGATATAGCTCTTCCTTTTTTTGTATCCCAAATCAGATTTAACATTTCTACACCTGCTTTCCGGGGCTGCATGAAAAATCTGAAGAAAACTACTGGTGTTGTTAGGTTGAATGATACTGTGGGAGTAACCAAAAAATGCTCAGAGGACTGGATGGTGAGTGAAGAGTCCAAAACCTTGTGGAGCAGTGCTCCCAACCAGCCCGTTATGGTGTTCGGCCACACACCCATGTTTCACCTTTTTCTGGTAGCACAAGCCTTAGCATGAACTGGCTCATATACACTCCCCACACACTTGCAGAACATCTTCAGGTTTGCATATTAAACTTGTAGGAAAATAGGAGCATCAACTATACACACAGAAACTTACCGATGATTGATAAGTTTGGAAAATTATCAATACATTTAGATACATTTAGATGATTGATCATGTAGGAAATCAAATTGTTTTTTCCCCCAGCTGCTTAAGTCACATTCATCAGATCAGGTGAAGTGACATAGGTTAAGATACTATACTTCAGCCGTGAAATATTACAATGTCAGTAACTTATTCCATGTTTGTTTTTCAGCTTGTGAGATCTGCCTCATTCTCCAGGAGAGGACAGTTGAGTTTCACCAACTTGGGCTACCCACTGCCCCACTACTTCCAGGCCTCCTTTGGATTTCAAACCTTTGAACCCAGTGGCATGTTATTACATCACCAGACAAGGGTATGAAATATTTCATGAATATTGAATACAATTTAATCCTGTCTCAAAATTTGATGTCAAAAGCAATAGAGAGATTTTGAAGGTAAATTAATTTTACAGTTGTCATCTTAATTTTGCTGATCATTTTTTTTTCTTCCAAGTGGAATTTTTATAGTTTTCAACAAAATTAAGATGACAACTATAAAACTACACATATTTTTATTAAGAATTGACAGAAAGAATCAAATCATCTTGCCCAAACTTAAGTCTGCAGAGTTTGACTTTGGAAAATTGAACTTCATAGAATAATGACCAGAAAATAAAAAATTCATAATGACCGAAGAGAAGACATCACTATTATAATCATATATTTAAAAATTGAGGAATCAAGTTAGAAAAGAATTGATCCTGATAAAAATAACTTCAACAAGAATTAAAGAGAAAATAGAAAAATTTAGAATGCTTAAACCGTTTTTGTATAATTGATGGAGACATTAAAGCAGTCCTTAAAATGATTTTGACAGATTCATCAATGTTGGAATAATTTGTTTAAGATTTTTATATTCATAGGCATGGAGTCAAAATAGTCAAAAATAATCTTTCCATCATAAAGTCTGTATTGATACATTCATTCTCCTTAAGTGCAAATTACCTGTGTTGATGGGTCTATTATATGCTGATTTCAGACTAGCAGCCTGCAGGTCACCCTGGAAGATGGTCACATTGAACTGAGCAGCAGGGATAGCAACAGCCCAATTTTTAAATCTCCACAGACATACATGGATGGGCTACTGCATTATGTATCTGTAATAAATGACAACTCGGGGTGAGTGGAATGGCAATTCACACATTCTTACTTTATTTAGTCTCAAGGAATTTTTCTGGAGTCCTTGGGGAAAATGTTTATACTTAACACTGAAACTAGTACTACTAAGTCCTTATTTCTTCCTGGTTCCATATCAATTTCCTCATTGGGGAAAAAAAAAAAGTCAACAGTTGGATGGATGAACTGAGACTTGTTCAAAATGGAATACTATAAAGCAGTGACAATGAAAGAAGTACAGTTATGTACAATGACGAACTTCCAACATAATGCTGAGGGAAAGAATGTCCACATAAAAGACTTCATGTTCTATGATTTTATTTGTACAAAGTTCAAAAACAGGCAAAGTGGATTTATTGGAATTCAAGATAGTGTTTACCTTTGGAAGGAAAGGAGGACTAGAGATAGAATGAAAATATGAGGCAGGGTCCCTATGGTTCTAGTCAATTCTGCTTCTTCATTTGGTTGCCAGTGATGTTGGTATATTCACATTGCAAACGTTCAATGAGTTTTGCACTTGAGATGCAGGCACTTTCTGTATGTAGGTTACATTTTCATTAATATGTTATGTGCAAAAAAATGACACATGAAAAAAATCTAATGCTCTTTAAAAATCAGGCTAGTTTAGTGAGTTGTTTTAAGTTAAAGAGAGTAAGTGTAGGTTAAGGACAGTAAGTTGACTACATGGTGAGACCCTTTTTTCCAGTAGTTCTCACCCTTGCATTCTCTTTCTGTTTCAGACTCCGGCTTCTCATTGATGACCAGCCTCTGAAAAATAACCAAAGGCTACAAGACTTTTCAAGTTCCCTGCAATCCCTGCGCCTGGGAGGGAGTCATTTTGAGGGGTGTATCAGCAATGTCTTTGTCCAGAGGTACATTCTTTTCTCTTTGCGTGCAGCTGGTAAAAATGGCTTGCCCACAGGGAAGGCATCTCATTGGCCTGATTATCAGAGTCAGATTTGTCACCACAGGCAGTAGGAAGTCCTCATACCAAATGCCTTCTTTGACACAACACACATCCAAAACAAACCACCAACAAACAACACCTGGTCCTAGCCTCCCTGTGAGGAGCACGCGTGGCACATAACATTGGCAAAGATCTAGTTGAAATTAACTTTCAGACTATTGCCCTAAAAATATTCCAGTTGAAGTGTTATTCATTTTAATGAAGATTGTGCAATGAGATTTAACATCCCTAGTTTTGGAAACGAAGGAATTGCATGACCCAGGGCAGTGGTAGGAGGCCAGATCACCACCTGGAATGCAGAGAGCAGAGTTGGTGCCCCTTGCGAATGTCTAAACAACCTTTTCTTTTGATACAAAATAATCAGTTTTAGATAAGAGACAAGATCCTCCCAGGGCAGAGAGAGCATCCAGGACTGGTCATGAACCTCCAGCCAGTGGGCTGGTGACCTTCAAGGCTCAGGCAACAGTCCTGAGATAATGCAGATTTATCTGCGAGACATTCCTACTCCAATGTCATAAGATAGCCAGTTAACCTACTCCTCAGGCTTTATGAGGTTCACTATTCTAGATCATCCAGTGCCCATGTTTCCCCTCTCTGCATATTTCATTTTCGTATTTTCTATGTTATACCCACCCCAAGGAAAGAACTATAGTATTCTGACTTTGCCATGTTCTGACTGCTCAAGTCAATAAATTTCTTCAGCTCTCATGCTGCCAAGGCCTGGTGCTGGGTATTTTAGGGATTGCAGAGGTGAGCATAGCACATCCTCCTTCAGTGAAGCCTAGTGTCTCCTCAAGATATCATTACAAACAGGTGATGAAAGTTTACCCAGAAATCATGACAGTAAGAATGTGTACTTATGGGAAAATGTGTCTCCCTCAGCATGTCACTCTTTTCTGCCCCTGTTCCAGGCTATCACAGAGTCCTGAAGTCCTAGACTTGGTCAATAAAACTACTAAGAGAGATGTGTCCTTGGGAGGCTGCAATTTAAACAAACCACCTTTTCTAATGTTGCTTAAGGGTTCTACAAAGGTTAACAAAGCCAGAAGTTTCAATATTGACCAGGTAAGTGTCAAAACCTTACAATGGGCTGCTTCTTTCAAAGGATTCTCATAAGAAAATCCTGCCTCCAGGGCGATGTTAGGAAGGGAGTGGGAAGGAGGAGATATGTAGATCACTGCATCCCATGTGCTCACTGTCCCTGTGAAGTTGGACTGATGGGTCATTGGCAATTGGATGACACCAACGTGTAAAAGCAGTTTTTGTATCTTAGTGAAAACTTGATAATTTCTCAGTCACAGAACAGATAGAGCCTTGATTTAGGTTTGTCAATTTCTGCCTAGCTCTTTTGATACTTCTGATGTGTCTCCAGCAGATATAATGGTTGTCCTTACAATTACAAGAGCCCTGCCTCTTCTCCCCAGAGACACCCTCTGTCCTGCCACTTATGACAGGGTACACACATGCACCCAGACCTTGTCGAGATCAGTGTGGCTTGACCTTGACTCCACATGAGAAACACCTTGGGAGCTTTTAAAATCTCAATGCTCAGGTACTTGCCAAGAATTAAGTCAGATCATCTGGAGGTGAGTCCAGAAGGGGCAGCAGTTTGAAGCTCCCCAGGTGATTCTAGTGTGCAGAAATTCTGAAAAGAAGTGAAATCCTTATTTGGAGGTGTGTAGAAGCATTGTAATAAGTTGAGCAGAGAGCTAAAACAAAGAATCTGACAGGATTAGGACTGAAAGAATTCCTTTCTCTGTTTGAAGCCAGCAGTGTGACCTCAGGTCTGAGGTTCCAATTTATATGATTGGTATATAACACTGAACACCTCCAATGTGCTGGCCACTGCACTAAGCTCAGTAAATGGATTTTCCTACCAAGTAACCTTGTGCGATGAATACAGTTACTTGCCACATCTACAGGAAAGGATGCAGTGGCTTAGAAAGGTTTAGGAAACAATTTATCCAAGCCCCCATAGATGCAAGATGAAGTTGGTACCCAAACCCAGAGAGCCTTACCCAGAGCCCAGGCTCTCTTCAGAGAAACACACTCCTGTTCAACCTACTTTTCACTTAATGTCAACCACATGCTGCTTGTCTGTCAATATTTCCCTGCTGCACAATGATTTGGGGGAGTTGAATAGGTAGCAATGTTTTATACTATTAAGAAGACATATACTTCATAAATCCCAAAGGGTTGTCACTTTACTGTTATGAAAAGAACGTCGTGAGAACAGCCCCCATCAGGAATGAAGTCGGATCTTTAGTTATTCATTGTAAGGCTGAAAATTACCTAGAGACTAAATTAGCACAGCAGTAGTGGAGATGGCAAAAAGGAAATGGATTCAAAGCTGCTTAGAAGATAGAATGTACAGGAATTAGATAATAATTGAATGCGGGTAGCAAGGAAGAGAGGCAGGAGTTAAACTAATTGTGAGGCATCTAGTCCAGGTTACTGGATGGATGGAGGTGTCATTCATGGAGAAAAAAGAAGGAAAAGTATTTGGATAGAAAGAGTTTCAGTGCTATTGAGAGACAGGTACCTGCAGGACCGCCAGGTAGAGAAAGGTGGAAGGTAACAGAGAGAAGGCAATAGAGAAGGCACAGGACTTTGGGGTCAGACTTCCTGGGTTTGCATCCGGCTTTTTCATTTGAAGGATTGTTTAACCTCTCTGTGTGTCTATTTCCTGTACAGCATAAATGAGATTCTACATCTTATGATGATGTCATGAAGTAATAAACAAAAAAAAAAAAAAGTGCCTGACTCAGGGTAAACATTAGTAAATATTGACTATTACTGTTATTAAGCACACTCGTAAGCTAAGTGAAAGGTACAAAACCTGCTATGGGAATGGTTGGCAGGAATTTTCTGCCATTGATATGAGGTGGGTTTTTTAGGGGCGGTGACACACAAGTTGGGCCTCGAGTTGGGCTGAATGGAGCCGAGTGAATATTGTCACTGCCCGAGCAGAAGCCTGAAGCTGGGAGGCAGGATGTAGGCAGAATTCCAACTCACAGGTGCAAGATGCTGTCCATGCCTCCTGTTCCACCTTAAAAGATCTTCATACAGTCCTTTCCAGTTCTCATCATGCCCCGCCCCCCCCCCCCCCCAGAGTAGAGCAAATGCCTTATAGGCCAGGAAAGTGAGTATCAGTGAGGTGACAGAAAACTTGCCTGAGAGCACCCAGGATACATGGCAGGCAGAGGTCACACCTAGGGCTGTAATCTTCCAGCAAAAGCACTCTTCGTCATGTCAATGCTACAGGCTTGGAAAGCTTGGTGAGCAGTGGGAACATTTGGTGGAGAAAGCAGGCTGGGGCAGGTAAGCTGGAAATTACGTGCCCCTGGAGCCAGAACAGGCAAACCTCATCTGCCCTGAAGTAACTTTTGACATTTAATTATAGTCAATGTGAAACCATTGAGAGCTTTTTTTTTTTTAAATATTTATTTATTTATTTATACAAGCACTGGGTACAGTCAGAAGCGCGGGAGGGTGAGAGAATTCACCAGAGCCAGAGCGGGGAACAGAACAGGCAGAAGGACCGAAGTACACTGCTGAGGGGAGCAGCGGGCGGCAGGAGAGGTCTGCGCGCCATGTGGGACCCTTGCCAGTGGCCGGGGATCGAACCTGCGCTGCAGAGGCTGCAGGCAGCTTCGCAGCCCAGCGCTCAACCGCTGTGCCACCGGGGAGGCCCACCACTGAGAGCTTTAAGCTGTGTTTTAAGTAACCTGTGGGATGATATGATATAAACACATTCTAGAAACAAGGAGGCAAAGTGGCAAGCTACGACAATGGTCCCAGCAAAAGCCTGAGGGACCCAGCTTTCAGGGCAGAGGTACCAGGAGGAAAAGGGAAAGAGTTGAAATAAAATATGCCACAGGGAAGACCAGCAGGACATAGAAGAGGCAAGGAGGAGTGGGTGTGTGTCTGTGATGACCAAGCCTTGGGGCTTGGGTACACTGAAGGACAATGGTGCCTTTAGGGTAATGAAGGAAGAGTTGGTGACAAAGGGTGTCCTGAAAACTGTTCATCTCGATGTTACACCACTGATACACAAAGGAGACTCTTTCAGGGAGGGAGGAAACCCCAGGCAGGAAGCTCCAGTAGGACCCAGGTTTTGGCTGTGATTTTAAGCAGTTAACTTTCTAGTGATTGATCATCTCCACTTTGCAACAGGCACACACAAAAGTTTTCAATTACTACATGAAATTTGCATTCTGACTACCCTATCAGGAATTGGGTTGGGGAGGAGAAATTTTGGCTGCTAGCTAAACCCACAGCAAAATGGCTTAAACAGTGAGGCGATCTGTAGGTGGGTCTAAAAGTCCATCCGGTATAGGCATATCCTAGCCCCACAATGCCCAGGGAGAACACATCAGCTGCCTTTCTCTCTCTGCTAGGAAACATTGCTCAGCTGCCCGCCTCCACTTTCCCTGAAGGTGCATTGGCCAGGCTAGGGCCACATGTTCACTCCTGATACACCTCACCCTTCACTTGAATGGGCTCCCAGCTGAGCCCTGACCCTGTGGGAGAGGGGGGACTGCAGAGAAAAAGAGGGGAAGAACTGGGCAGTCTCACTATCTTGCAACAATTTTACTATTCACATTTTATATTTAGTGTGGTTGTTCCCCAGTATTGACGCTCAGTCCTGTTCAAAAGTTCAGAGCATCATCCAGCTGAGAGAACAGACTTCTGTGCTGGCATCAGCTCTGATGAAAGTGGGGACACGTGTGGGCCCTCTACCTTTCCTTTCCTGCTCTCTAGGTGCTTTCACAGCCCTTCTGCAAAAGTCCAAGTGACTGGTCCCCAGGGGAGGTGGTGGGTGGGCAGCTTCATGTCTGTCTGGCCAGATGCTGACTCTCAGGGCCGCTGTGTTCTTCCCCAGCGCCACATGGGAGGGGCGCTGCCATAGCTGGTCCCAGGCGCTGCAGCTCTCAGGAACAAGACCAGCCTTGTGTAGGATGGGAATAACTTGTGTCCTCCCCAAGGATGAATTCATCTCTATAGAATTTCTCTCTTAGGAATGAAAGTAAAAACCGAGCCAGGCACTTAGCAAGAAAAGCCTTGTTGTTTCCTTCCACTGATAATTAGCAGTCCTAATGTTTTGCTTCTCTTCCTTGCAGCCATTGCAGGACATGCCAGGGGCCTCCCGGAGGAGCGCAGAGACATGGCAAGATGCTCAGTCCTGCCCGCCCCCATCCCAAGTCCAGGCTAGTCACAGAGGCCTCAGGTTTGGGGACAATCCCACCAGCCACTTGCTATTCACACTTCCCCAGGAGATGCTGACACCCAGGTATTACTTAATTTTCCTGCCTTTGTGCCTACTGAGAGCCTGATTCTGCAGTGATTCTACCACCGGGCATGACACCTGTCACATGACACCTGGCACTAGCACATTTGTGAAAAGAGGGGCTGGCCTGTACAGGCCACAGCGTGTCCCCCCCACAGCTGGAATGCACATGTGATGTGATGTGAGGCGTGCAACTTGTAGGCTGAAACCATCAGCTCAGATCCCATTTAGAACTGATGGTGTTCTAAAAATAAGGAGGCTGGTATTTCTTTCCAAAGCTGCTATTTATTTCTATGATAAATCACCTTTCTTCTGTATTCTGTAGTCAGAAAAAAAAAACATTCTTTTAGGTAGACTTAGTGCTAGATAGATCAATTTTAGAGAATATATTTGGACTTCTTGTGTGAACAAGTTGTATCTTTTAGGGAGGAGAGGAAATGAGCAGAGATGTTATGTCAGAAGAAAGAAGAAAAACATGCTTTGTTGTTTTCAGGTGATTTAAAGGACATAAATTAAAAAAAAAAATGCTAAAACTCCTTTATGAATCATCTTCAGAGGCAGGATTGCCTCTGGGTCAAAATCCCTGGCTTTGAGACCTGGCTATCATCCCAACTTGGGACTTCTGGGATGTAGGTGCCAAGATAGGATTGGATACTCAAGAAATGTGTTGTTCTCCTGCAAGATAAAGTGGAAAGAAGCAGGTCCTGGCAGGGGGAGCCTTTCAGTGGAGCTGTGGGCCTGACACCTGTGAAAGGAAAGGGGCAGGAAGGTGGGGGGAGAGGGGTGAGAAGGGCCTCGGATTGATGCAGCCTGAGACCAGGCAGCTGACAGACACCTCCCGCCAAGATCATCCATAGGAGTTCAGTGTCGGACTCTCCTGTCCCAGCCTAGCTCATCCTGGGCTGGGAGTCTCGGAGTGTAGCTGCAGATCCCCTAGTATGGCAGCTAGGGGCTGGAGCCCCCTGGTTCCTCAAAGCAGGTTCTCCTGGAGGGGTCCCTGAGCAGCAACTTGGGGGCTGCCATAGGCTGTGGTTCAATTTTCCTAAGCCTGACCTTGCTTGTTTTCCACAAACTTGGCATCATTAGGCCTGTCTCACATATTTTCAAAAATTGCTACATCTCTTTGAACCTCAGTTTTCTCATCAGTTGAATGGGGATGATAATGCTTTCCTTGCAGGGAGGGGAAGTAATAGCTTCTAAGGAGATGGCTCTAGAGGCCCACTCACTAAGGCAGGTTCATGATTTATAGGCAGATGTGAAGGTGGAAAGGGAAAAGGCTGAGTTCTGCAGGAGACGTCTTAGTCTCCCTCTCTCCAGCCTCCCTGGCTCTGAATCTTCAGCACCAGCTCTGCCCTCCCTCCCGCTGGAGCCCTCTCCCACCCCTTCCCCTTCAGCACACTCCATGTGTTATCCAGTCTCTTCTGGTGATCCAACCACAGCACCTGCCAGCCCAATGCTACATTATATGTAATAACTGGAAAATGTAACATTTTTGAAAGGAAAGTTTAAAAGTAGTCAATCATTTTGTAAATACAATTTAAAAATTATTTTAGTCCCAAATGCTGTGGGACTCAGAGTATATTTTCTGAAAGTTGCAAGACTTGGGATATTCTATTGTTCTCATTTTAATTTATATTTTAGCAAAATTTTGCCTCTTTGCCACTATTTTAACTTTTGGTGAATGTATAAAAGTGATGCTTCATGCTCTGCCTTCCCCATCTAGCCTCCAGTGAGGAAGAGTCAGTCACAGCCACAGCGTCATTTGCTGGGATTTGCATCTATGGCTGCCTTTTGGGGGGTGTTAGTCAGCTAGTCTTTTCTGAAAGAAAGTTGCTTTAAGAAATAATTATGGAAAGCAAATGTCAAATTTAATGACCAAGCCCACATATGTAAAGTACTTTAATTCTGTAGCAAGTTCTAATCACCTCCTTAATTGGCTAATCTTCATTCTCTAAACCTCCGCACTAACACAGACACACTGAGAAATATTGAGCAGTGTCACCATCTGGCTCGTTGAATTTAACAAATATAGATTTCTTTTTCATTTTGAAGAATGTTACCCTCAAGGAAATTTGCTAATCTGAAGATTTAAAGCATATCTCTGTGTTTGCTTAGCCTCACAGTACTAAAAAGCAAAGAGAAGTAACTGATTTTTATCTTTCACTTCCCCATTTTGCCTCCAACTTTTCATTTATCCATTTAATTTAATTAATATCATTTATCATTTAACTATTTATTGTGTACCTCCTGTGTGCAAGGTGTGAGGGATATAGCTATAAGCAGGATATACATTCCTGCCCTGTTCGGTTGCACATAAGCCATAGGGAATGGAGATGATGCCACTATCTCCACCAACTTTCTCACTGCACTGTAAGACACCTCTTTCAGTGCACACATGCTTCATAGCAGCTTGAGGCACCATTCCTCACTGCATTCCCAGGGCCCCCACAGTGCCTTTGCACTTACTACATACTCACTAAATATTTGTGAATGGATGGATGAATGGAAAGATGGAAGGATGGATGGATGGATGGATGGATGGATGGATGGATGGTTATGTGAGCTTTCATAGAAAGTAAAGCTTGCTTAGTCAGATGTGTGAATGACACCATCACACAAATGAACATTAGTTTTCATTTCTGCTGTTATTGCATGGTGCTTGCCTAGTTCCTATTCCATCATAGATGGGGTACTAAGGTCAAGGAAATGTCAAGATTGATGGGAGACGGTCTGTGCTTCTGTGTCTATTATAAATCTTACAAAATATGTTTCCTAGATGCTTGAATCAAAATCTTATTATTCAAGTTGCCCTCTGATTTCTCATAACTTCCCTCTCCTCCTTGCATGTATACAAAATAGAATGAGTACTCACCGTGCTTCAAGAGTACAGGCTGCTAAGTGAAATAAGCCAGTCACCAAAAAGACAAATGCTGTAATTCCCCCTAGATGAGGTGCTAGGAATAGTCAAAATTGTAGAGACAGAAAGTGGAAAGGTGGTTGCCAGGGGCTGGGGGAGGGGGAATTGGGGAGCTTAATGGGCATTGAATTTCAGTTTTGCTTAATGAAGGGTCTGGAGATTGGTTGCACAACTTTAGAACGTACTTAACACTACTGAGCTCAGCACTTAAGAATGGCTCAGATGGTAAATGTTATGTGTATTTTACTGTAAGACATGCTTATTTTCACCATGTGCCAGGACTTAACCCACTAATTATGTTTGCCATAGAATTTCCACCTTTTAACCCAACATGGTAAGGAGATTATTTAACAAATCATTTAACTCCTAGAATATCGTGACTGTAAAACTTCCCAGAGAGACAGGTAATTTAATCAGCGCATGTCTTATTTTATTTACCTGAAAAATAGAGGCTTAGGATTCTGCTTCTCACCCTCTCTCCCAGCCTGGAAGATGTGGAGAAACTCTTAAAATCCCATTTTTCCTTCTCTAACTATTGCTTTCTTTTCCCCCCAGGCCAAGCTTTGCTATGGAAGTCCAGACAACATCTTCCCGAGGACTCGTGTTCTACACGGGCACTAAGAGCTCCTACATGGCACTTTATTTTTCAAAAGGACATCTGGTCTTTGCATTGGGGGCAGAAGGGAAAAAGCTGAAACTCAAAAGCAAAGAGAGATGCAATGATGGGAAGTGGCACACGGTGAGTGCAGGCTGTGTCACAACCTGCTGGGGAGTGGGGGAGAGTTCCCTGTGGCTGAAGATTGGGTCTCACCACCCCCAGGCTAGAACCTGCACACTCTGGGGGAGCAAGTGTGGGCAGGGGAGTGAGTGTGGTCGGAGGCACTGAGTGCCCAACCTCTCAGCACCAGGACCGCTGCACACACCATCCACAGATGCCATCCTGAATTCCAGAATGGGCCTCTCTCACTGCTAATCTAGCCCTTTCCACCCCTCCCTTGGCCGCCTTACTCCCCTTGCCTACTCCCACCCCTGCTTCCTGGACCATTTCTCACCTCTGGGACAATTTCTTGGTCTCCAGTCCCCTCTCTGGGGCAGGAATGCTGTGTCCACAGCTCAAGTATGAAAACCACATCCCTGGCATCCCAACTCTTGCCTGAAAGCAACCCAGACTGAAGAGAAATACAGCCCTAAGGCAAGGAGGTGTTTTTCTTTTTTTAAATGATGAGGGAACTGGAACTCAGAAAACATGTGATTTGACAAATTTCTCTCAGTGATTGAACAAATATCTAATGAGCTGTCATCGTGGAGCACATAAACGAAAGCCCCCAATATAATGTCAGATACTGGCACATGCTTGAAGAAAACAGTGGGCCGAGGTAAGGAAGTGGCTGAGCAGAGAGACTGGCTTGAGAGAGCAGTGAAGGAAGCCTCCAGAAGGTAACAATTGCATGAGACCATGGGGAGGGTGTTCCAGGTAGCAGGAGCACTGAATAAAAGACCCAGGCAGGAATGAGCTAAGTGGACAGAGCAGAAAGGATAAGGAATGGGCTTAGAAAGACAGGCAGGATCCAGCTCATTTAAGCTTTGAAAGCCAAATAGAGGACTATGGAAGCTTTTGGAGAGTTAACCTATAAAAAGAGAGTTCCATGATCAGGTTTATATACATATATATATATTTTTTAAAGATTTATCTATTGTTATACAAGAACTGGGGTACAGGCCAGAGGCACGGGAGGGTGAGAGGATTCACCAGATAGAGAGCGGAAAGCAGAACAGGCAGACAGACTGAAAGCACTGCTGAGGGGAGCAGCAAGCACGACAGGAGAGGTCTGCGTGCCATGTGGGAATCTCCCTGGCTGGCCAGGCATCAAGCCCACGCTGCAGAGGCTGTGGACAGCTCCACAGTGCAGCACTCAACCGCTGCACCACCAGGGAGGCCCCAGGTTTATATTTTTTAATACTCTGTTTAGCTGAAGAGACTAAAAGAGGGTAAGAGCAGAAGTAGGGAGACCAGACAGATGCTATGACCTTGACTTGGAGGAACAATGGTATAGGTGAGAGAAGTGGGGTGTCCAGGATGTGTTCTAAAGCAGAATGAGAGGGCTTGTGTGTACGTGTGAGAGAAACAGGAGTCGATAGTGAGTCCTGCGATTTTGGGCCAGCAGTTGGGTCACAAGTGGGGCTGTTACTAAGATAGAGAAGAAGGGGAAGTGGCAGGTATGGTTGGAGGGAGAGAGAGTTCAGAGCCAGGGAGGAGTGGAGCTGTGAACATTCCAGGGCTGAGCTGCCTGTCAGAAATCCCAGCTCATGTGTCAGAAGACAGCAGAGGCCAGAGGCCACAGCTGGGCATGTAAACTGGGGAGTCATTTGAGACTAGTTTCACAGCCATGGGATGGCAGAGTCCACACGGGAGCCCAGGGATTCTGACTTTTAGCAAGAGTCTCTCCTCTTGTGGGAAGAAAATAGCTGCTGCCCCTCCCCACCCCCTCAGGTAACATGTGACTACTTGTGCACACGCTCTGCTTAAGTGTGTGTGTGTGTGTGTGTGTGTGTGTGTGTGTGTGTGTGTGTGATGTTCCTTCAGCTCTGCAGTCATTTATCTTTTGTTTAAGTTTCCAGATCAATTATAACTTTTTATTCATTCGCTTTTGAGCAACCTTTTTAAAGCTCTCTTTTAGCTCACTCTGTTCAACATCTAACATCATCTCACAAAGGATGACGCTGATGACAATACAAGGCAAAAAAAAATCTTTCCTTTTTTTTAAAACTACATGAAGGGACAGAAAACCCTTTTTTACAATTTCCTGTGACTGCTAATAAGACCCAACACCAGAGGTAAGAGCATGGTTAACTCATTTTCTTTACTCTTTAGGTGGCATTTGGAGAAGATGGAGAAAGGGGCCGCCTGGTTGTGGATGGTCTGAGGGCCAGGGAGGGAAGTTTGCCTGGAAAGTCTAAAATCAGCCTCACAGCTTCAGTTTCCCTGGGATCATCTCCCTCAGGGAAGCCAAAGGTAAATAGTTATGTTCAAATCATAGAGAAAGCTAATTTATCGTTTAATAAGACTTTATAACTATGTAAGATATTCAAGAATCTCAAAAATATATTAGATTTTTTTTTAAAGATCTAATATCCACGATCCCACAGAGAGAGTATCTATTCCCCAACCCGAACCCTTCATTTTTAAGGTGTAGTTTGAGACACAGGCCCTGAAGAAGTGGGTGCAAGGCATCTCCATGGCTTTATACATATGAATCTCTTAGATTCTCATCCGGGGGATGCAAAAACATAGGTTTTTGGGTGTAGCTGGAAATTTTTGGTGAAGATAATGTTTTCCAAGCTTTGGCAATTGGTGCCACCTCTATCATCTCTGCTATGTCCAGGCACCACGATTATTTAATGGTTTGCTCTCAGTCAACTCACTGTTATGTATCAATTTGTTTTAAAGGGTCTTTTCTCTCTCATAAATAGGAACCCCAAATCCTTTACTGTATGCAGTAAGTAACCGTAAAAAATAAATATGTGAAAAGTTATTGATGTCTAGCTAGACGACATAACCTGTACTTTCTTGACTCAGAGAAAAAGGAGCTTGATCAGGTGTGTCTTACATAATTGTAAGAGGCATTTAAGACATATGAGCTCAAAGTGCCAAGTGTTCCTTGCTGTAATCAGACAGGGCAGGAAAATGACAAACTTAATAACAAATGTGCTCTAATGTTTCCTGATATCTGAAATAAAATTACCGTAAGAACCAAACTTGGGGAGATTTTGGGCTAAAGGAAAGTCACCCCTTTATCTGTCCCCCGAGGGAGGGGTGCACTCATGGATTTGTCAAGATGAAAGTCTTTGATGGGACTGAGGCTCCAGGGAGCCCTTCAGCAGGCCTCTGTGCAGCCCTCTGCCCCTTGTCCTCCCCAATTTCCATGCTGCCAGAGTCATTGCTTCTGAGTTTTTGGTCATCTTCAAGATTTGCTTTTTCCCAACAAAGTTAATGTGGTGGCCTACAAATTGTCTCCACCTAAATGCAGTGTCTGATGCGCGGCTCCTCCTGTCCCTTTTCTTGGAACTAGGCACCCATTCCGGTGTGATGTTTGCTTGCCTGCCTCCTGGGGGAGGAAGGACCATGACTTAAATCTAGGCCAGAAATGGACATAATTAGGACACATCATTTTCCTGCTTCGATTATAGGGTGTCAGGCAGACCCAGCCTGTGGCTCCCTGAGGCTCAGCCTGGCCCGCTTGAGCTTCACACTGGGATTTGGGCCAAAGCCCCGGACGTCATAAAGTATTATTTTGCTTTATTACATATTACTTTTAGGTATCACACATAGTAGACAGCATTATATATGTAATATAGAACATTCATAACTAAGGAGGATGCTCAGTGTCAGTGTTTGCTTTCCATCATGTATTTCCCTCTCAGAGAAACCAGTGAGGGCTGGCTAGTTCAGGGCATAATTTAGGCATTCTTTTCACCTGGATAAATCACACCCAGCATCCCAATATCTGGGACATTCCATAGCAGCACTGTTTACAGCACTGTTTACGAGCTGTTTCTGCAGCCTCCCTTCAAGCTGTGGGTACAAGCCATCAGGCTGCCCTCCACCTGCCTTTCAGAGGGCAGGCAGCCTCTGCCAAGCAGTGTGTGCCTCTGAATACCAAGCCCCCGCCAGCCTGCAGGGTTCAACCCGAGGTTACGGCCTGTCCTAGGGAGCCCAAGCTTGGCTTCAGATACAAGCCCTTCATTGCATGTCATGGTGCATCTTAAGAAACTAGAAATGGGGCCTCACTGATGGTCTAGGGTTTAAGTCTCAGCGCTATCACCCGATCATCGCCACTGCTTGAGTTCGATCCCCGGCCAGGGAGCTAACCCACATGGTGCAGCAGACCTCTCCTGTCTTGCCTGCTGTTCCCCTTAGCAGAACAGTCAGTCTGCCTGTTCTGTTCCCCATTCTGTCTCTGGTGAATCTTCTACCCACCCCCCACACCTCTGGCTTACATCCCAGTTCTTGTATGCATAAATAAATAAAAATAAATCTTTCAAAAAAATGAAACTAGAAATGTCATGGAAGCACAATCAGTGCTTTATTGTAGACACTGCATCTTCATATCACCGTGTTCTCTTAAATGGTCATGTCCTCATCTGTCCCATAGGATTCCAGGGTCCTAAAAATTTTTCTTCTAGAAGGGAGTTGAGAGATTTTGTTCATTGACTGAACTTCTTTGAGAATTTAATGAAAGTTACTGTCCCTCTTCCTAGGAGAGGGTACGTGCAGGGACCATCTGGCTGATAAACTAAGGAATCCCAGAAGTCCATCCTGGGCCCTGGGGCCTGCTTGGGCAGATACTGGGCTCTCAGAGAGCCCCCAAAGCTTCCCACTGTGTCTCATGTTAACACTGCAGCAATCGTGATTTGCCGTTAGCACACAGGACTCAACAATGTCGGGAGCTTTCTTACACTTTATTATTTTAGGAATATTTTGGCCTCTTTTTTCAGTCAGCTGACCTGCATTAAGCTATAGAACAGGCTCATAAAACACTAAGAATTGGCTTGTACCTGTAAAGAGATCTGTGAGTTGCAGGGTGGAAATTTCCCCTGTTGCAGCCCTGACTGTGTGGACCAGGGTCAGGTCCCCCTCCCTGTTCTTATTCCTACAGTGGCTGGAACCCTAACCACCTCTGCCCCCTGTACGCACACCACAGGGTTTGGTGGCAACTTCAAACTTCCACCACCCAGCAGGCATCTGGTATTCAGGCTCTTTTTGGTATTGTGGGCAGTGAACTGAATGGGACAGTCCTGCCTGACCCTGTAAGGCAGGAAGGGTGAGCCCCCCGCCTCTTTACCCCCTTTTGAGGATAATTCCCCGCCCTTATCATTGGATGCCGATGCTTTTCTGGAGTTGTGAGTAATGAGATTTTCTTTTTCTGCTGCTTGGTTGTAGAGTCTCCCCAAAAGCAGTTTTGTGGGGTGCCTGAGGAACTTTCAATTGGATCTGAAACCCTTGGATACCCCTTCTGCAAGCTTTGGGGTATCTCCCTGCTTGGGTGGCTCTTTGGAGAAAGGCATTTATTTCTCCCAGGAAGGAGGTCATGTCATCCTAGGTAAGAAATAGTTTGGAAGAATTTGTGTCTTTAAGTCTGAAGAGCTGCATCCTTTTTTGAATTATGATGTTTAACTCTTTGCTTTTTTCCCCCCCCTTCGGACAGCTAACCCTGTGTTACTTGGGCCAGAATTTAAGCTTGTTTTCAGCATTCGCCCACGAAGTCTCACTGGAATCCTGATACACATCGGAAGTCAACCCGGGAACCACTTATGTGTTTATATGGAGGCAGGAAAGGTGTGCAGTGTCTGATGACTTGGGGAGGGTCTGTGGGTCTACATTAGAGCTGGACTCCACCTTGGGAGACCCTAGGAGGTGAAGTCACAGTAGAGAGTAGGATCCAATATTGTAATCACGAGGCCTGGCTGCTGGGCCAATGTGCAGTTTTCCTTTAGCAAGTAATTTGGCCCTCTGGGTGTTTGCTCTTTATGTCTTCAATCTTGAGAAAATGCAAACAAGCTGGCCTTTCTTCATTTCACCACTAATTATATGACCCTTGGGAAGTTACTTACCCTCTTTTAGACTCAGTTTCCTTATTTTCAAAATGTGTATGATTTTTATATCTTGGGCTTTTTAAAAAGAAGTTATAATAATTGCCATATACTTGGTAAATGTTCCTTTTCCTCTCCCCCACTTCCCCTTGTCACATCTCTTCTTCTATTCATACGGGCAGTACTGAAATAGGGTTTCTCTCCAGCAGTCTCCACCCACACCCACAGCCCTGTGGCCACTGATGCCGTCAACTGTCCTTGTCCTCTCTACACAACTCACTGGCCTTTGTGGTCCCTGCAGCCAATTTGGCCCCCAGTGTCCACACAGGCATCCTTTGGCTTTTTGTGATTCATTTTACAGTTTGTGCTTCTGTCGCTTTGTCCTTCCCATTAGTCAAAGGCCTGGTCAATCTCTTATTTTTGCCACCTCATTTTATCACTTTCCTTCTCAAAAAAACAACAATAACAAAAACCTCTTTAAAACCGGATTCTCCCAGGAAGCCTCTTTTATTTAAGATGTCCAGGCAAAGATTGATAAAATACCAATTTCCTTCCCTTCCATCCTTCCAGAGTTTATTAAATGTGAGGAAGAAATTTCCAAAAGAAAGTAAAATAGCCCAAAGTCCTAGAACACTTTTATTGAAGTTGCAGGCTATAATTTGGGCCGGCCTCTGGTAGGCCCAAGAAGCAGCCGTTGGGTTGAGAAAGCTTGGCTTTTCAGTAGCAGCGGGTGGAGGAAAGTCTACAGTAATAGTTTCTGATAGGAAATAATAACCAAAAAAAAATGAAATCAAGATGTGGTGACCTTCATAATAGCATGACATTGCTTAACTTGAAAAATGCCTGAGAATAGGCTGCACTGCCTAATGCAAATTAAATGTAAATTATTTATAAACGTGCTTATTTTAGTCCTCTCCTCTCATTCACCTTTCAGCCCTAGGACTATCCTGACCTAGAGAGTGGGAATGTAGGAATGCTACACAATAAATAGCATGCTAAGGGTCTGACCACTTAAATGTGCCCAGTATATCGAAGGGTTCTTGGACAAGAACCCTCTATAAATCAAGTTTTCATGGAATTATTATAATTGGCTGGTCCTTGCAGCAAGTCTCAGACAGAATTTTTACCCTCCAGTTTCACATGCCCTTTTAAACGGAGCCACTGGCACATATTCATAGCTAAGGTAGATCCTTATGCTAATCAGTAACTATTGAGCAGGGCCTGGCAGGAGTAGGGGTCAGACGGGTAAGGCTCCTGGCCATCGGCAGCAACTCAGGTTGGGCATTGGGCTTGCAGCTTGCGGGTAAGGCTCCTGGCCATCGGCAGCAACTCAGGTTGGGCATTGGGCTTGCAGCTTGCTTGCCTGGAAGGAATGCAGCAGAGATATTACTGCAAAGCCTTGGACCCTATGTGATTACCTGGTGCTTCAGGGGAACCTACTGCAAAGTGCCCCTGTACCATTAAGAGTAGCAAGGGCTAGAAGGAAAATGGCAGGGGAAGTTAACGCCACCTGCCTTTCCAGATAAGTTAAGAAAATGCATGTGTTTTCCAGGTCACGGCCTCTGTGAACAGTGAAGCAGGTGGGATCTTGACATCACTCACACCAAAGCAGTCTCTGTGTGATGGACAGTGGCACTCAGTGGCAGGTATGGCTTTCTTAGCCTATCGTTCACACACTGAGGCAGTCTTTCTTTTCACCTTGACTTATTGTCTCAAACGCAGTATCAGTTCACCATCTGTTCATGTCTGGCTGAGGTCAGCACCCTTCCCCCACCCCTGGTTAACATTATCACAGCCTCAACTGTATTTATATTTTTCATGGTGGTAGCCACCTAAAATTCTTCTTAACACAATGAGATTTTTTTTTTTTGAGTCCAGCAAGTTGATAAACTTTGTTTGTCTTCAAGGCGGTATAACATGGATTAATATTCTGACTCTGACGACAAAAATAACAGAGGGCAAATCTCAGTTCTAGCCCTTAACTGTATGACCTCGGGCGAGCTACTTAATTGTTCTTGACCTTCAGTTTTCCCCTCTACATGGAGATAGAAAATAGAATACACCTCTCAGTAATATAAAAATTAAATAGAATAATGTATTTTATGTAAAGTGCTTAGCAATATTTGACATGTAGAATAAGTGTTCAGTGAGGATTTGTTAGGGTTGGTTTTTCAATAACCATTTACTGTTAATGTAAACAATTGAGACAAACTTCTGGGTGGAGAAAAGATATGGTCTCTCAAATAGAATTTGCTATTTTATAAATAACTTGCGAACATAGGTTTGGAGATAATAGTAACCTATACTGGCTAAAATGCCTTTTGTGAAAAGTGATCTTTTCTTGGCTAATTTGAAAACTCCTTTGCAATTAGCTAAAAATTGCTAAGATGGGAGGAATTTTGCTTTGGGAGTCAAACGTGACACTCTGGCGTCAGTTTTCAGAAGTCACAGTGTTTTGGAAAGAAGTTGAGATGGGAGGCCGGGCCTTGAATCCCAGTTCGTTCAACTTATAACCAACCCTCTTATCAACTTCCTCAGTGACTGAGAGTCACCATCTCTTCTGGGAAGTGGAGGTCATCCTATCCTCCTCACAGATTCACTTGAAGGGTTAAATTTGAGCATGTACGTGGAAGAACATAAATACCTCCTGGTGTCCAGAAATGCATTGGATTTATCTCTAGGTTGGCCAGATTCCTGGGAACAGTGCCCCCACCAGTCTGATAGGAATGAATTAAAATGCAGCCCTTAGTGACACAACAGTGTGGACATTAAACAGTGGACAGGGCAGGGCTCTCCTCAGTGGCTAGACCTGACCAACTTCCTTTCCCTCTAGTCATCATAAAACAACACATCCTGCACCTCCAACTGGACAGAGACAACAGCCACACGGCTGGGCAGTTCCCCTTCCCACCGGCCCACACTCCGGAGCTGCTGCACATTGGAGGTGTCCCAGGTAACCCTTATCCTCACTCCTTCTATAACCATGTTGCCCCATGTCAACTTTAACATGTCCATCTTAGCCCAACAAGTGTGATGCCTCAGTCCATGGGTTATTAGGGGCAGCCATTGGCCAGATGGTGGAGGCGAGGACGCCTTTTGCTCCAGCACTCAGGCAAATCCACTTGCCAGCAACTGGCATATTTCAGGTTAGCCCAGCCCCATTACTGCTGCTTTCCCTTATCCCAAGGCCAAAATTTATCAGCCTCTCTTAAAAGTTTGCATTAACCTCTTATCAGAGGCCTGATATCAATCCAGAATCAGGAAAGGGACTGAAAAACTGGTCTCTCCTCTCTTCTCTCATTTTACTGGTGAGTTGTTAAGCTTGATGAAGCCAGAGTGAGAGAGCCAGGCGGGGTGAGATAGGGTTAAGTTCAGAACTAGAATTTTGTCTGGGAAGAACCTTGTCATTCTCATTATTTTATGTCCCTCTAAATAATTTGGTTATTCATCAGTCTTCTGTGACCCAGAAAAGCGCTAGAGTTCAGAGTTATTATCTACTGATTTGAGCTATAGCATCTCCCTCTGAAGAACCTGCGCAGTACCCTCTTGCTGATTTGATTTAGCACATCAGATGTAGCGTGTCAGATGCCCGCTTGAAGGAAGGAAATGGCTGGGTGCACTAGACCTTGGATGCCTTTAGCTCTAATAAGCCTGCACATAAATAGGCACACTCATTTGGTGGTATGAATTATCCATTGAGTGCCTCTCCTTTACTCTTTCAGCCAATCTGCAAACCCTGAAGCTCCCTGTGTGGAAATCATTCTTTGGCTGTCTGAAGAATATTCAAGTCAACGACACTCCCATCCCTGTCACTGAAGCTATGGAAGTCCAGGGCACTGCCAGTCTGAATGGCTGTCCTGCGCACTAGATAAAACCCATCACAGAGTGAGGAAATTCACCTTCAAAAGCACTGATTGCCCAAAGCATCTCTGCTCCTCACTCAGGATCATTCTTGATTTTAAGACATCATGCAGAGGGCTAGTAGCAAATCTGATTTTGAATTCCAACTGTGTGTACCCATCATTTTGGTATTCAATGCTACATGTGAGTTTTATATAAAAATTCCATTTTTCAAAGATGATGAACAAATTGTCATGTGCTTTTGGTAATATTCTTTTTCACTAAAAATTAAATGTCCTTTAAAGACCATTTTTCCCACTTATTAAAAAATAAATATCTTCTGAAGCACTTTAAAAACCCAAAAATGTTACATCTATTCAGGGGGTCTAATTTATGGAATTAAATTAATTTAATTAATTAAATACAATATATTTAAATTACAATGTGTTATTAGCATAAAACCAATGGCTTGGTGGTCATTGTTAATCATATTAGTTTTTGGGTCCTTCTTCACAGTCTTGCCTACAAACACAGTTTTCTGTAAGTAATTACTGATCACATGCTCGTGAGGTACTGTGTGTGCTCATTGTTGAAACTACAGCTGGGTGGAAGAAGTAATCAATAATACCCTGAAGGAGTCTGCAGTCCAACTGGGGAGACCCCTTGTGTTGATAGAGTAGTAAAAAACTGACAAACCCAATAAATGAATCCAAAATTCCACTTGGCTTCCCATGTAGCCAGTTTCCTACACCCAAGTGTAGATTATGACTATTCATTTCTTACAGGCAAAAACTATCTAGTAGGGGAGCTGGGATGGATATATGAACTATAATTAAAGTTTGCATGACAAGCTAACAGCAATCATTGGAAAGGGGAGTCACTTCCAGTATCATCTACAAAATAAATGAACCCTATACTAGATCACTATCATGACCTATCACATTCTCCCTAACAAGGAAGCCTATGCAACTATTTCTGTATCTGCTACATAGTATTTGTCCATCTGGAGAAAAGTAACAAAGAATTGTAAAATTTGATTATAGTAATCCTGAGTAGTGTCCTCACAGCTACATGCCCTTACCTGTGAAAAGGAGCCACATTCCCTCCAACTCAGTCCTCTTTGTGAGCCTCTGCTGCTGGCTTGCTGGCATGCTTTCCTCCAACCACCTCTATGCTAACAGGGGATGTTCTCCCAGAGAGGTAGCAAGCTCCCCATCACGGGGGTATTCCATAGAAGCTGCCTGGAGGGCTTTAGGGATTCTATGCCATGTCAGAGGCAGAAAGCATAACCCTCAGTCATATGCTTTCTGAAAACAATGGTTTTCAAATGACAACTCCAGCAAATGATCAACACCCAGGAACTAAGACTGCCTGAAGAGCATCCATCCTGCCTGTCTTTGGCAAGTCTACACTCAATTGGTGGTTCTCTTCCAGATTCCTAATTGTATCTATAAAGCCACTCATTCGTGCTGATTATTTGTACTTTCTAGATTCATTATAATGGAGCTGTCAGTTTTTCAATTGTATCACTGGTTTCCCCTTCATTTTGTGGTAGCTTGAAGAACAGAGGTGCATCCGCCTTTGCTGTATATAATCCCAGCCACAGGAAGGCAGCAATGTCACATGGGACGATAGAGGAGCATCAGAAAGCCCTCAGCTTTTCAGACCTCAGAGTGTAAATGTCTGTTGTCTGAAAGGAGTGTTTACAGGTCCTCCACTGAACCATCATGGAAATTATTTGTAAGATCTAAAGTGCTGTACAAATATTATTGCTGTCACCTGGCTCATGGCCTCTCATATGGGCTGACGATGGAACAGGCTAAGTAGGGACAGGGGTTCACTGGTGGTTGAGTGACCAGTTCATGACTGGTCCATAGTTGGTTCCATTTTGGTCCAGGGGAGCAGATTTGAAAAAACCAACAGCACATCTCAGGCAGCAACCACTGGTTACCCCGCACAAAGTAACTAAGAAGAGAGTGTGTCCCTTCAGGGCAACTTCCTTCTGCTTCTCTCAGGGCACCTCTTAAAGATTTGTTTATTTATGCATACAAGAGCTGGGGTGTAGGCCAGAAGTGTCGGGTCAGGGGCAGGGTGGCGGGGAGGGGGGCAGTGAGAGGATTCACCAGAGACAGGGTGGGGAGCAGAACAGGCTAATTGATTGAAATACACTGCTGAGGGGAACAGTGGGCAAGACAGGAGAGGTCTGCTGCACCATGGGTTTAGCTCCCTCACTGGTGATCGAACTCGTGCTACAGTAGCTGCGGATAGCTTCATAATGAATGGTGCTTAACCCCTTGAGCCACCAGGAAGGCCCCTTCTCTCAGGGCACCTCCTTACCACATTCCTCAGTGCAAAGGGTGATTGAAATTTTGTCACATCTTGTAATCCCCTGGACAGAGAAGGCTGACTTTTCCTTCCTCCTGTCAAATCATACCCAATAGGGAGATTTTACGTTCATTAAACAGCAGAAAAACCTATATTCTTTTTCATTGCACATGCATTTCTTTATGAAATCACAATTTTACTACGTATTTTTTATGGCTTTAAAAGTTATATGGTGTTTTCCTGTTCTTTGTAGACCATTCTATCAGATTAATTCACTGTAATATCGTGAACCATCCTTTAATTATTAGACAACTGGACTATTTCAATTTTTTTGCAGATGTAAGGAAATTAGAAAAAATGTAAACTTATTTATCTTCTTAGAATAACTTCTTAGAGCTATAACAACTAGGTCAAAGGATAAAAAATATTTTTATGCTTGTTATTAGGTTGCCACGTGTTCTACAACTATCCTAGGCTGGGTGGGTTCCTCATCGGTTCAGGCAGCTTGAAAGAGAACCTTAGAGCCTTTGGCATAATCCCTACAGATTAGGAGGAAACAAGCCAGCAGGGTTGGGCCCCCTGCGAATCTCTACAGGCTCTTTCCTCTCAGGCCATTCTCCGCTGGTCTCTACTGCATTCTGCTGCATGGTCCTCTGCCATACTCCATTCTCTGTGACGCCGCCCTTATAGGCTCAGCCTCCAGGCTCAGGTGTGCCCACTTATGCACGCCCACACCGTACTCCAGGTGTCCACCATCAGGCATGAGCACCCTGAGCCCATGCTCCTGAGTGCCTCTTGCATTCAAAGCTGCAGGTGATAGCCACAGAGGCCAATGGCACAAAAGCCTGATAGTCTTTAAAAACTGAACTTTTCTCTCCTGCTGCTCTCTGCTCCCCTCAGCAGTGTATTTAGTCAGTCTGCCTGTTCTGTTCCCCACTCTGGCTCTGGTGAATTCTCTCAACCTCCCGCACTTCTGACTGTACCCAGTGCTTGTATAAGTAAATAAATAAATCTTTAAAAAAAAAAAACTGAGTGGGCGGAGCAACATGGCAGCGAGGAGACGCTGCGAGTAAGATCTCCCATTAAAAAAAGTTAATAGGGAGGAAAAGCGGCAGGTCCCAGTGAGAACTGGGACACGGAAGATAAACGGACGACTCCAGCAAACTGCCCAAAGAAGAAAGTTGCCATAAAAGAGGACGAGAAGGGAGGGAAGCGCAGAACCCTGCTCCCCTCCCCCGCCCACAGAGGCGGCACTCTCCGACCAGCAGAGAGGAGGGAAACAACAAACCAAAACGGCCAACAAGAAAAACGGACACAGCAAGCGGGACTGTGAGTGGAAAGGAACTATTGCAGCCACCACACCCCGTGAACGGGAGCTGAGGCGAACCCTGCAGGATCCGCCGCGGAGGTGAGCTCCAGGCGCCATTAAAGAGAGCCCCGCCCCCCAGGAGGAGACCAGCCCCAGCACACAGCCCCGGCCGCGCGGTAAGCCTGCGCGGAAAGTGGCGCGGATCCAGACCGGATCGCAGCTGCCCAGGTCCCCGCGCCTGCGACCTAGGCTTGCATGGAGACAGCGGAGGCCCTCCCTGAGTGAGCAGGAACAAGGCGCCCAGGCAGGGGAGCGGGATTCAAAAGGCGCCATTCCCGCGCCACTGATCTGGGCTACAGCCCGCGTCCTGGAACTGAGGGCTTTGGAACTGAGACCCGGGGCACGAAATTAGGGGCGTGGGTTCCCCACGACGGTGGGGCACAAGGCAGACACAGCACCCCAAAGCCGTTGAGGTGTACCCTACCATCCCCGCTCTGCTCCCTGTCCCACGGGGTGGAAAAACAGCTCCCCAAGGGCTCTAGGAGAGATCTCTGGCGCCACCTAGCGACTTGACCCCAGCACAGGCTACTGAAGGAGCTAGTGGCCAGCTGGGGAGTTAGCCCACACCTGGCTCCTTCTGAACAAGTAGTCTGAGCCCACAGGGAGAGCGAGCACCCACAGCCGGGGCAGACCAGGCGCGCAGAAGAGTGTGCCTGAGACCAGACGCGCAGGGAGTGTGTCCCACATCACCATTTTAGAACAGGGACATTTCTTCAGTAAAGACTACCTGCAGAAGGCTTCCTCAGGAGCCAGAGGTGAGCGGGGGAAGTTCGCCCACGCCAGACCCCCTCTGGCCTGCAGTCCAAGCCCAGAGGGGAGCAGGAACCCACCGCCGGGGCAGACCAGGCGCACAGGGGAGTGTGTCCCCACATCGGCATTTTAGAACAGGGACCTTTCTCCATTAAAGGCTGCTTGAAACTGACAGATGACTCCTGGAAGAACCAGAGGGGAACAGAGAAGCCCACCCAAGATGCCGGCCAGTCCCAACAACACAGTGTCCCAACGCATACGGCAAATTAGAAAACAGACAGTAGGGAGGAGAAGAACCACACGCAACCTAGCAACTCTCCAGAGAAAAAGCACACCACAAAAAGAAAGCCAGCCCCCAGATTGCAAAGACAATAACTTGGAAGAATTTCTGAGCCTTCCAGAAAGAGAATTTAAAATTGCCGTGATTAAAAAACTGACAGAAGTCATAAAGGAAAACAATGATAAGGGAAAAATAATCAACGATCAGAAGAATGCAATTGAGTCCCTAGAGAGGGAAAACAATGGTCAGAAGAAAGAAATTGAGTCCCTAAAGAGGGAAGTAAAAGAAATGCAGGAGATCAAAGAATTAATGGAAGAACTAAAGAATTCTGGGAAAAGCAATGAAAGCAGAATAGATGAAATGGAAGAACGAATAAGTAATCTTGAAGACACAGAAATAAAAAGAACCAAAACAGAAAAGGAAAGAGAAGTACGAAGGAAAAAGAACGAAGAAAGACTTCGGGAACTATCTGACTCCATGAGGAAAGGAAATATAAGAGTTATAGGAATACCAGAAGGAGAGGAGAGAGATGTAGGAACAGA